AAAAAAAAAAAAAAAAAAAAAAAAAAAAAAAAAAAAAACACACACACACACACACAGACAGCGCCCTTATTTGCTAATATAAGAAAGGAAATATCAGCGAGCCCAGCGTGAGGCTTACCGGAGATTATTATGAGTATTGAGAAGAGGATCAACGGGGCGCAGTTCGGAAGCGTTGAAGAGGGCAAGCTGAGGGAGGGGGGTTCTTCAGCTGAAAGGTACAATGTAGGTGATAGTGCAGCTGCAGAATTTGGTATGTAAGTGTTGTTTCTTTCAAGATACAAATGAAGATGTTGTCGCCAGTTGAAGCTTCTCCATGTCCCTTGAGGTAGCACACGTGACCCCCACGGCCGTCTAGCGTGTTTCAGGTGTTGGTGCCTTGGCGCCAGTCCGACTTGTAATTTATGCCTGAGGCATAATGAGTCTATCGCTAATTAACTATGTACATAGTTACTACTGAATCCCAAAGACAAGCCTCCTTTTACTAGGCTGCAGAATAAAAAAGTTTCAAAGATCGTCAGTCATATAATTCATGTCTAGCTAATCAAAGAGCGTCATTGTTTAACAAACAGCAAAAGCACAAGGAAACAAACTGAAGAGAAAGAAACAGGGTGAGACCTGCTCTACCCAAACGCACTGCCGAGTATTACAATCTATCCTTGCAGGCAATCAACCAACGCCAAATTTTGTTCAAACAAAAAAGGCGACTTACGAGTCCGGGCAATAAGTTTGATGCACGGTTCTCGTCCGGGTCAAGAATGAAGGCCCCGTTTGTTGGTATTTGTTAAGAACGGACGAAGCGGATGAAGCTGCGGATGTTACAGGCGCGCTTGACAGTTGAGCCGCGAACATGGCTGGTATACTCGATGAATAAGCCGCAAACATTGCAGGAGAACCAGACGAGTCAGCTGATAGCGCTGCCGAAAAAGTAGTTGGGGAATTGAATAGGTTGACTGAAGGAACGGCGGCAGAACTTGCAGCTGGTGGATGAATGGGTAAACCCGTTGATGGTCGAGCTGAGGGAGCAAAAGCAGAACTTGCTGGAAGGACTGGGGAACTGAACGATGACTGGGCTGATGGGGCGGCGGTAGAGCTCGCGCCAACAGCGGAGCTTTGAGCAACAGAAGAGCTCGCGGTGCCCTGCAAACCAGAGCCAGAACCTGGAGAGAAGAGCTGTGCGAATTGACCCGGAATGGAAGCATCATTAAGAGACTGTGCATCATCGTACTTGGCCTGGGCCTTCGTGTTGGTGTCTGCTTTTCCAGTAACATCCACGTCCATGCAGGTCGTATACAGCTCCGGCTTCCCATTAGGCAAGCTCTCGTCCTTACCAGGGAGGGTAGGCCAGTCCCAAACCCAGTACAGCGTGTACTGCTTCCCACCCTCCGCATCCTCCGGCAGTTTAATATCAGTCTGACACCACAAATTGGTCCCCATCAACTGATCTGCCGTGTGCTTGAACTTGGCTTGGCGATTCTTTGAGATACTCCCACCGTTGACTTGGTAGCATCGACCGTCGTCGTAGGGCCGTGTTGCCAACAATTTTCCGCGCTTGTCGCCTCCAGTGCCGTCTTTGTTCCAGACCTTATGGATGTCGATAATCCTATCATCTTCGCTGGGCTCGGTTGTGCCGTACACATAGACTGTTCCGCGATTCGGAGGCTTCCCCTCTTGATTCTGGGGTTCAGTCACATGGCCGTTTTCCTGGTATCTGAGGGCAATAGCGGACCCCTGCTGCACCTGAAGACGTGGGAGGTCGGGCTTCTGGTCGTCTGGACTTGTCTGGGTATCCATGCATATCTTGTCAGCTTTTGTAAGGTTGACCCCGTTTGATGGAAGTCGATAGGTCATGGCGTCGTCGTTGAAGTCTGGCGATGTGCGGGGGATGTAGCCTCGGGGGTAGCCCGGAGTGCCGACGAAGCTGCCATTACTAGGGTTGATGACCGTGAGTTGTTCGATCCAGGAATGGGCATTGGTGGTGGTTGCGAGGAGGGTGGTCAACACCTTCCAGCTCGTGGGGATGTGCATTTTGTTCGGTTTTGTAAGCTTCGTTCCGACCAGCGGATTCGATGTTTTTCTTCGTCAAAGATCGTGATATCCCTCGAGAGAGTATAAACAAGAAGTAGTTTGAGTATCGAAAAGAGCGAGAGAACAAAATAGCAGCTAGCAAGCAACAATGGGCATCCTTATACGATGCTCTTGACGCTGTTCCTTGTCTGACAAACAATAGAATAGACAATAGACAATAGACAATAGACTTTATTGAAGGAAAGGCCAAAGATGCCAACAATAAAAACTCAATTCCTAACAAAGGGAATGCAAAAGAGTGATTCACTGACAATGGACTCAACCCGGAGAACTCCACTGGAAAAAAGAATAAACAATAGAAAGAGCCAACGGTCTCTATTTATTCTCCCATCGGACGAAATCAATAAGGCTATTGTGCGTCTCACCTGATATGAAAAAAAAGGGCGCAAAAAAACTGGATTTGGACTGGGTGAATCGCTTTGTGGCACTCTCACGGGTAGCAGAAGAGTAACAAAATATACCCTCTGGGCGCCAACGACACCAGTCAGTATAACATGTCTCCATGTGGCAGCAATAACAGGGGAAAATCTCCGAGCAAGCATGTTTGAAGAAGAAGCATTGAGGGCCAATGAATGGCGTATGGAGACTGTGTCAGACCTTGTGGTGAGTTCCTTGCATCTCATTGAGATTTTTATTTTGTACTTTGCTATTATTGTTCTTGATGTTTGGACTGGATCTCAGATGTGGTCGGCGCTTAGCAGTCATTGGCTGGGGTTTCTTCATCTCTATTTTTTTTTGGGGGGGGGGGGGGGGGTTCTCATTGTTCCCTATTGAGGAGATCTTCTGCAGGGACCGGCGGTTAGCGCTTTGCCTCATCTTGGGAATATATCCCTATCAGCATGGGGATATTAAAAAAGCAAATAGTGTCACAGGCGTCTATGTATCTGTATATTTGCTTTAAGACTGAAAAGAAAAGAATAGAATCGTTCTGTCATGGCGGCTATACCCGAGCCAGAGAGCGTGAGCGATGCGCTGGGGTGGATGCGATGAAACAGATAGAGTCTTGCGGCGATTGATCGGGGCTTTGATTGCTCTTATATATGTCATATTTTACTGCTTACTGGCACTGAAGAATCAGATCTGACACCGACAACGATTGAGATGTAGTGACCTGCAGATGTAATTCAAATCGGGCCTAATGGAGAATCAGTAAGCGGGAATAACTAGGGCACTATTGACATGTATGCAAGCTGCAGCTTTTCTGGCATCCCACTCCCCTTTCATTAACCAACGGCCTTGTTGTCTTTTGATATTATTCTTGGGCATGAAATCGCTTCCTCTTGTCCGACATAACATCCAATACATCACTTTTGTCGTCGAAGATGCCGAATACAAGCTATTGACAATTCCGATACAGGAGCATCCGAACGTCGCCGTATATATATCGGCCAGTTCCGCCATAGACGACCTTGTCCATACAAATACGTCCACAAAAACCCAGCACCGGAATGCAGATGGGGCCACTGATTGATTTACTGATTGATTAGATGAAAAGAGTGGATATTGCTTCAGTATCGCGTAGTTTCCGCCGAATCCGAGAGCTGGCCGAGTCTACCGAGAGACAAAGAGTGGGTAGAGTCAATTTAATCGGTTGAAGTTACCTAATGGGTCGGATTTGATGAGACGAATCTACAGTAGTTAGAGCAGAAGGTGGTGGTAATACTCCGTGTTCTGTACGAAGATAATAGCGTATGACTGTGCCCGGAGAACGGACTCGACCCCGGAAGCAAAGGCAGAGCCTCGATTTGCCAGCAGGCGGTTGATGCAAGGACCTTCGCTCAGCCTTTATCTGTATGGACCAGACCATGCAGCTGAAAAGGCGACCTTTGTGTGACGGAAATAAAGTGATCTCATCAAGTATGGTAGTAGAAATTGCAACGCAGGCTGGGTCAGAATTGAATCCCCATCCGGGCCCTTGGTTAATTTATTTGTATTTTTTTCTGTGGTCCCCGCAGTACGTCTTATCCTTTAGACTCGAGGACGGAGTATTTCTTTGTGTGGCCCCCTTCTTCTCACTTGCTCATTTACTTTTCTCTCTCGTTTTTTCTCTCTCTCATCCCTCGCAGTCAGGTATACGAACTCTGAGAACATCTCCGATCGGCGCCTAAATCGGGGTTACGTTGATCCGTCACGTCTGGCCAGGCTACCGATTTTACCCTTCAGGGGGCTGTGGCCGAAAATCAAAAGAAAAGTTCTGGAAGAAAACGAGAAAATACTTGGAAGAAAGAGGAGTAAAATAAGACGACAATTCCAGGAGTATCAATTGAATCTTTTTCGTGCGATACTCTGGTCAATTTCTCCTGTCGCGTGGCAAATCCTCACCGTTCTCTCCAGGTATGCTCTGATCGTCTCCAAGTGTCAAATAGCGTGCAGGGACTAAATCGCTTGTATCTCTAATTTATTTTAGTCCTGCCCCCCCGTTACCTCTTCGTTTTTTTTTTCTTTTCTCTCCTCGAAATTCTTTTTCCATGTTCTGTCCTTCGATTAGAAATTGAAAACAGAACAACAGGAAAAGAGGAAAGGGGAGTTTCTCTCAATTCCTTTCATCCCCTCCAGGCGGTTTCCTCTACAGGGTCGAGCTCGCCCTATACCGCCAATTCCAGAGAGCTGTCCAGAAATCTCTTCAATTTCCCCTTACATTCAACATGGCTACCTCGTTCTTAACGAGGAGCTTTCGTCCAGCCCAAGAGGACAAGGACGCGGAACCCGGTTGGTTGAAGCGTCAGGTTACCAGTGGTTTGCAGGCCATTTCCCGTCGTGCCTGCTTGCACCCCATCCACACGATCGTGGTCATTGCCCTCGTCGCTAGTACTACCTACGTTGGTCTTCTCGAAGGCAGCTTTTTCGATACCGTCAGGAACCCCAGGGATCTTGCGGGCCAGGTGGATGTCGACTTGCTCCTTCAGGGTAGCAGGAGTCTCCGTTTAGGCGAGAGTACCTCCTGGAAGTGGCAGGCCGAAGACGCGTCGTCGCCAAACGATCAGAAAGTATGCTCTCCATTTGAATTCATTCTCCTTGTTTTGTACGGATACTGACTTTTATCAATGACAGGTCGCTCAACACCTCGCGTTGACCACCTTCATTTTCCCCGATTCCACCTCCAAGTCCGCCCCTCCCGCTCCAGTCGCCCACGATGTCCCGGTTCCTTCGAATGCCACTGCTCAATCCGTTCCCTACACGCCTAATCTCTTCTCTCCCTTCTCCCACGACTCGTCTTTGGCTTTTACTGTGCCGTTCGAGCAAGTTTCCGACTTTTTGAAGGCGGTGCAGGAAATCCCTGACCCCTCCGCGGACACCGGTGAGGTGGAACAGAAGAAATGGATCATGAGGGCCGCTCGTGGCCCGGCGGGGTCCTACAAAGCTATCGGTCTCTGGCTGGTTGATGCTTGGGGCTCGTTCGTGGACTTGATCAAGGTACTATCGCTCTTGGCTCTTGGGTATGAGATTTTACTAATGAAATGCTTTTGCTTAGCACGCCGAAACAATTGACATTGTGATCATGGCTCTGGGATACCTGTCCATGCACTTGAGCTTCGTCTCCCTCTTCGTCTCCATGAGACGCCTTGGTTCGAAGTTCTGGCTGGGTGCAACCGTTCTGTTCTCGGGCGCGTTTGCCTTCCTGTTCGGTCTTTTGGTCACGACAAAGTTAGGAGTCCCGATTAACGTGATTCTGTTGTCCGAGGGCCTTCCGTTCCTTGTCGTCACCATCGGTTTCGAAAAGCCAATTATCCTCACCAAGGCCGTTCTTAACGCTTCGGCAGACGGCAGGCGGCAGAGTTCTCGGGCCAATGGTGCAGCTTCGCAGCCCAACGGTAGCGGTCAGACGACCTCCAGCACCCCTAGGTCCATCCAGGATTCGATCCAGACCGCCATCAGGGAACAGGGCTTTGAGATTGTTCGCGACTACGCTATTGAGATTGCCATCCTTGTGGCCGGTGCCGCGTCAGGAGTGCAGGGCGGCCTTCGACAGTTCTGCTTCCTCGCCGCCTGGATTTTGTTCTTCGACTGCCTCTTGCTCTTCACTTTCTTCACCACTATCCTCTGCATCAAGCTGGAGATTACTCGCATTAAGCGTCACGTGGCCCTCCGCAAGGCCTTGGAAGAGGATGGCATCACCCACCGTGTCGCAGAAAATGTGGCTTCCAACAACGACTGGCCCCAGGCCGGATCGGGAACCAGTGACGCTGGTGACGGTGTCTTTGGTCGTAAGATCGAGTCTAGCAGTGTGCGACGCTTCAAGATCCTCATGGTTGGCGGTTTTATCTTGGTCAACTTGGTGAACCTGTCTGCTATTCCGTTCCGCAACGTTGGACACAGTACTGGTCTTCCCGTCATGTCGCGCGTCTCCAACTTCCTGGCAGGCCCAACCCCAATTGATCCTTTCAAGGTAGCAGAGAACGGACTCGATTCTATCTACGTCTCGGCTAAGAGCCAGATGATGGAGACCGTTGTGACTGTCATCTCGCCTATCAAGTACAAGTTGGAATACCCCTCTGTGCACTACGCTGCCCCGGAGACCCGCGGCTTGGACATTGAATACACCGATCAATTGTTGGACGCTGTCGGTGGTCGTGTGATTGAGAGCTTGCTGAAGAGCCTCGAGGACCCCATCTTCAGCAAGTGGATCATTGCTGCTCTGACCTTGAGTATTATTCTGAATGGATACCTGTTCAACGCTGCACGATGGAGCATCAAAGAGCCCGAAGCTGCCCCCGCTGTCCCGCAAATCGTCGAGGAACCTAAGAAGGTCTACCCCGAATTTGATGCTGTTCAAAACGAATCCAAGCGCACCACTGAGGAATGTGAGGCCATGCTCAAGGAGAAAAAAGCTCCCCATATGTCCGATGAAGAGTTGGTCGCACTTTCGCTTCGCGGTAAGATTCCTGGGTATGCGCTGGAGAAGACGATGGAAGACGAGAACCTCATGAGCCGTGTCAATGCTTTCACCCGGGCGGTCAAGATTCGTCGGTCTGTCGTGTCGCGAACCCCGGCTACTTCCTCTATCACCAGCTCGTTGGAAACTTCCAAGCTCCCGTATGAACATTATAACTACACGTTGGTTCACGGCGCATGCTGTGAGAATGTCATTGGTTATCTGCCCTTGCCCCTTGGTGTTGCCGGTCCCTTGAATATCGACGGTCAAAGCTACTTTATTCCCATGGCCACTACTGAAGGTGTGCTGGTCGCTAGTACCAGCCGTGGAGCCAAGGCCATCAACGCTGGTGGTGGTGCCGTTACTGTGCTTACGGGTGATGGTATGACTCGTGGTCCTTGTGTTGGTTTCCCGACCCTTGCTCGCGCGGCCGCTGCCAAGGTTTGGATCGATTCCGAAGAGGGCTCGAACATAATCAAGACCGCTTTCAACTCGACAAGTCGTTTCGCTCGTCTTCAGTACCTGAAGACTGCTCTTGCCGGTACCTACCTCTATATTCGGTTCAAGACCACCACTGGTGACGCTATGGGTATGAACATGATCTCCAAGGGTGTCGAAAAGGCACTCAATATCATGTCTACCGAATGCGGTTTTAGCGACATGGCCATCATATCCGTCTCTGGTAACTTCTGCACGGATAAGAAGTCTGCCGCCATCAATTGGATCGACGGCCGTGGCAAGTCGATTGTGGCGGAGGCTATCATTCCTGGCGATGTTGTGCGCAGCGTGCTCAAGAGTGATGTCAACGCGTTGGTCGAACTGAACACTAGCAAGAACCTTATTGGTAGTGCTATGGCGGGAAGCTTGGGTGGTTTCAACGCCCACGCATCCAACATTCTCACGGCTATCTTCTTGGCTACCGGTCAGGATCCTGCACAGAACGTTGAGAGCAGCAGCTGTATCACCACCATGAAGAAGTAAGTCTTTTTTTCTCCCTTTCCCCTGCCTATAATATTTCATAATGCTAACTGGAATTAGCTTTGATGGTAACCTCCAAATCGCCGTCTCGATGCCTTCCATTGAAGTCGGAACTATTGGTGGCGGTACTATCCTTGAAGGACAGTCGGCCATGCTTGACCTGCTTGGTGTGCGCGGGTCTCACCCCACGAACCCCGGTGACAACGCCCGTCAGTTGGCACGGATTGTGGGAGCCGCAGTGCTCGCTGGAGAACTGAGTCTGTGCTCTGCACTGGCCGCGGGCCATCTCGTGCGAGCCCACATGGCCCACAACCGTGGTAGTGGTGCACCCAGCGCTGCACCCAGCGCTGCACCGACGCGGTCGGCAACACCAGTCTCGGCCGCTGTCGGAGCCGCTCGGGGATTGACCATGACGAATTCGAAATAGACGATATCCCTCATTTTTCTCCTCCCTTCGCCACATGATGATGGACCCTGTCCCTGGCCGGGTTGCCATACGGGGGCGTTGATCCTCGGACGAATTTCCTTTTTCCGTTCTTCACATAATTTCGGCAGGACTCGTTTTTGTATATTTGTTGACCGGTTCATGTCATGATGCTCTTGGTCGGGCTGTTTATATCTGAGTATTAATCCGTGGAGTACAGGAAGATGCGTTTTCTTCAATGTTGCTGTTTGTTTCATTTGCTTGTTTTTGAGTCGATTTGGAAGCAGGAAGATGATGACGAGATGCAGACGAGATACCACTGCATACATAAAAGATCTAGCCAGACTAGTTACGAATCCATGCCATAATAAGTGTACTTCACTAGTAGCGCAGAGAGTGCAGAGTACTTGTATGTATTAGAAGTGTATTGAGAATACCATATAGATTACCGTCACCGACAGCCTGGTCTGGACTTTGACAGTGGGGGATCTGATTGGCTGCCCCTGATCCATCCGCAGTTCCGGGTGGGGCCGTGGTATTACGGGTGTGTTCCGGTAATACGGTCCTCAAATGGTTCATTCTGCAGAGGTTTGATGATAAATACAGTACGAGTACTCTGTACTCTGTACTCCTGTTGGTGCTACAGAATACATATTCCGTCCTGGATATGTTATATATCATATGCAGAGGGTAGTTGTTATGCTTGATTTTCTGGTTATGGAGAAATGTACAAGTATGTGCTAGCAACTCTAAATGCGTACTGTACTTGTATTGTGTATTCTTGGCAGGTACGTCTATATTCACTCCTAGGGGTGTTCTACGAGCAAGCCATGAGTGGGAGTATTATGTAGAAAGAGCAGAGGCAGAGATAATAGAAAGATTCAATATCTACTGAACTGCAATGCAAGAGATTGATTGATAGAGGTAACCGAGATAGAGTGTACTGTATCGTAAAGAAACTCCGGGGTTCCCCCGTCTGTCTTCAGTATGTATCGGGCATTATTGTAGTTCGAGCGACTCAGTCCAGCAGGACAGGAGGTCTTGTGTTCTTTCCTTCTTCGCTTCTTCGATCTTCTCCTTTTATCCTTTGCTCATTCGATTATCCCTAACACCTTTCTCTCTGTCACTCTTCACTCTTTACATACTGACAGACTGGGATAGTACGGGGCTCTTGCGTTCGTCGCGCGATTAGTCGTTCCCTTGAGCACTACTACGGAGTCCTACGGTTCCTGCTACGGTTCCTAGTTATTTCGCTTCTTTCCCTTCCTCTTTGTCCCCAACGGTTCTTCTCTACTTCTTTATAATCATCTCTCTTTCTCTCGATTTCTTTTGAATAATATCCGATTTGGTCTTGAGATCCTCTGCTCCCTTTTATTCTATCTCTATCGTCCGCCCCTAAATATTCATATCATCCGCCCTCTCGCCCGGGAGGAACTTTTTGTTTTTTTACCTTTGTCTTCATATTTTTCATTTCTTTTTTTTAATCAGGCACATGCCTCTCGTCGCATGATTCTATCGAACCTCGATTGCTATTTTTTTTTTCTTATCCCGTCCTCTCGTCTCGCCGTGAAACAACAATAATAATCATAATAATCATACAAAGGAGAGCATCGCGCCACGAGCCTGCTCAGCGGTTGCTGCAGGTCGACAATCCACCGCACCATCTGGCAGCCCCCATATGAATGGTAATTCCGGTGCTATGTCTCCTGTCTCCGTAGACGGGAGCGACTGGTCCGGTATCAACGGTTATCAGAAATCCGAGCCGCCGTTTTCCCCAACCTTCTCCAACCGCAGCAATCTAGCCACGCCCCCAACTTCCGGTGTCCCCAGCGGCTCTCTCGGTCCTAATGGCATGAACGGAAATACAACAAGTGCATTATCTAATGGAGGATCGTCTGGCCGGTTGAGCGACTCGGGGAATCCTTCGCCTCCGAGTTCAGTCGCCGGCGCGCGGTCTAGCGATGGTTTCGGGGACCAGCGGAGTCGGAGATATAAGCAGATGGAGGAGGTGCTGGGGCAGCATTATTCGGTTCTGAAGAGGTTCTTGCATGGGCCGTATCTGGATGATCGGGCAAGCAAGTCAAATAAGGCGCGGGATAAGTTGCTTAGGCTATCGGCGACGCAGTTTCATGAACTCAGTACCGATGTCTACGATGAGCTGCTGCGACGGCAGCAGGCTATGCCCTCCCCCGGGAGACCTCCGCGCTCTGATATTCCCCCTTACCTTCCGCCGCGAGAAGATTTCCACGAGAAGCGCAACCAAGCCAGACAGAAGCTGGCGTCGCTCCAGCATGGGCGGTTTAGGGATCTGGCAACGGATGTGTTTTGCGAACTAGAGCGCCGGTTTCCTCAATTTCCGGAGAGAGAATCTCGTCGCGCGAGTCCGGCCCCGAGTTTCCGTGATCGTCCGTCAAATGGATACGGAACTCCGAATGGTTATCCTCCACCACCCGGTGCTCGACGGTCGCAGTCTCGTGGCCCGAGTCGTATGGGACGAGGTTATTCCTCTGGCGGTCCTGGCAGCCCGATGAGTGGCGGATTCCCTCCACGTCAGGGGTCACTGGGTGGCCCGCCGCCAGGCCCCAATGGAGAGCCCACGCCGTTGCCGAAATCCTTCCAAAGTAACACTATTGTGCCGAATAAGAGTACCATGGTGGAGGATGACGACGATGCGGTTGGTACGGAAGATGATTTTGATGCGCGGAGTGATGCTTTTGGTCTGGAGGGGGTCCTGAGCAGGAGAGATACTACTACGACGTTCGGTGATGGGGAGAGGAATCAGGCGCATGCCTCGGCGTTACAGGAGAAGGTGGAAGCGCTAGAGGAGTTGGTTCGGATAAAGGACGAGCAATTGGCCAAGTACCAGAATGGTCAGGACAAGCCTCAGGTATGTATAGTTTTGGCCTCATTGTTGAATATACAGTCTAACTGTCACAGACTACCGATACTGAACGCCAAGTGTGGGATGGACTGAAGTTGGAGCTGGAGAGTAAGGTTTCCAAGGCAGAGGATTTGAACAGCTCTCTTCAGCTTGAACTGGAAAAGGTTCGCGCGGAACAGGATACCGTGGAAAAGGACCTTCGCAGCCAGCTCGATGCATCACGACAAGGCGCCGGCGACTCCGACATGCAAACTCGATTTGCAGATCTAGAGAACCAGCATAAAACGCTGCAGACCGAACTGGAGGAACAGCAACAAGTCACGGAAGAAGTCAGACGGGAGGCATCAACATTCCTCATGGAAATGAGAACCTTGTCAGAACAAAGCCACTCGAACTGGGAGCGTGAAGAACAATTGTCCAACAACGTTCATCGATTGGAGGAAGAAGTCAAGGAATGGAAAACTCGATACGCCAAGGCCAAGACCCAATTGCGGCACCTTCGCGCCTCGTCTGTCGGTATCTCGGACTCTCGTCCGGACGTTAGCAGCATTGTGGCCAAGGACCATGAGTTGATGCAGGAGCACGGACTGATCAAGGATGTACACGTGACAAAGTTCCAGATCTCGATCGACGAATTGCTGCGGATTGCGCGGTATGACGAGCATCACTTGGTCATGCAGCAGGTCAAGACGGTTGTCATTTCTGTTCGGTACATAATGCAAGATGTTCAAGCCGCCCCCGAAGACAAACTGCATGTCAAGGCTACGCGTAAGGTCTCCGCCACGGCAAACAACCTCATCACGGCATCGAAGAACTTTGCCAACTCGAGTGGCCTTTCTCCTGTGTCTTTGTTGGATGCAGCTGCCTCGCATCTATCTACGGCTGTGATTGAGATCATTCATCTTGTTAAAATCCGGGCTAGTCCGGCGGATGAGCTTGAGGATGTCGATGTCGAAGAGGACATTACGCAGCTGAAGTCGCCGGATTATTTCAGCGTGGCACCTAGCCAGAGCAGATTCAGCAATAATGAATCGATCTACAGTGCCATTCGTCCTCCGTCTGAGCAGTCTCGTGGTCTTTCGACTTCGAATATTGCGTTGTCAGATAATGGGGTGAATGGAGTCTCGAATGGAGTGGCAGCTGAGACGAGGTTCAATTATGCTACTACCAACGACCATGAACTTCAGGAGGTCAAGGTAAACATTCCGGCAAACACGTTTTGAGTACATTGCTAACTAGAACAGCTGTACGTCGAAGACCAAACAGATGGTCTTGTCCAATCCATCCAATCCCTCGTCGCCAGTATCCGCGCCGAAGCAGACCTCTCCATAATCAGCACCCACATCACCTCTATCTCCTCGGTAGTAACCAACGTTACTTCTTCTACAGAACACTTGATCCACAAACCCGATGTGAACCCTGTCCTTCGTGAGCGGTCCGGTCCTATCATTCAGAACCTAGACTACCACCGAAGTCGTCTTGTGGATACGGCCGCGGAAGGAGAACATGTTTCAAGCTTCGAGCAGTTCCGCGAGGTTACGAATAAGCTCCCTCCTATCGCGTTTGAGATTGCGCGGGAGACGAAGGAGTTAGTGCAGCGGTTGAATCCGATGCAGTATGAGGAAGAGGAGGATGATTTCCGGTGATGTCTCTCGATTTAACTAACATCCAGTACAGTACCGGCATGTAAATGCTGTATTAATCCTCCCCCCTTCTTTCTCGCTTGTTCATATCTTCGTCAACTTATTTATCATGCGTGACCATGAGCAACCATGTGAAATGATGTGTTGAATTGGGCAAGCTTTGCTCAATTCGTCTTTTGTTTTCTTTCTTGAACTGTATTTTACGCACTGTTACTTATTTTCTTCTCTTAGCGTGTTTGGTTTACCCGTCGCTGCATTGCATATACTTATACTTGTTTGTTATAGAGTATGATTTGGTTCTATTCGATTCTTGGGAGGCTAAAATAATAACGCGAATTCAGTACATCCGGCAACCCGCTCACGTGACTGCGGGTTCATTTTCCCTCCGGCTATTCCGTAGATAATCCGGTGTTCTTTTCCGACTTTTTATTCCTTGGTGCCTTTTTGTATATCTGGTCTCTTTCCAGTTGGTTTTCTGTCAGTGAATTGATTCTATACTCCGTACAAAGTAAGTAATCCTCAATTGTTCAATTGCCATCTATGGCGTGTCACTTGTACAGTGGCTTCTACGGCCTTCCACCACAGCCCCGAAGGCACTTGTGGACCACGTGACTAACCAGACCAGCCCCTCCAAACCCCGCAACAATGTTTTCCCGCGGCCTGAGGTCAATAACCACCACCCCACCTTGTTCGTCCTCGACTCTCCGTCCCCTCTCCTCCATCCTCAATTGCAACCAGCCTTCTTTCTTGTCTCTTCGCAAATTCTCCAACTCCACCACCGCCATGGCTCAGAACACCCGTGCTTTCTTCGACGTCCAGTACGCCCCTGTGGGCTCTAGCACCCGTAAGTTTCTCTTGTTTAAAAAGAAGGGGCAGGGATTTTTCGTGCCCCTCGTTCATCGATTCTCTTCGCTACAATCACAATTCAATTGCTGACTGTCTTTTCCTACAGCCAAGACTGGCCGCATCGTCTTCAACCTCTTCGACAGCGTTGTCCCCAAGACCGCTGCCAACTTCCGTGATCTCTGCAAGGCTGCCCCCGGCCAGGGTTACAAGGGCTCTGGCTTCCACCGTATCATCCCCCAGTTCATGCTTCAGGGCGGTGACTTCACCCGCGGCAACGTGAGTCCTCTTTATATCCATCTACATCTCCATGGGTGAGACTAACTGACAATAATAGGGTACCGGTGGCCGCTCCATCTACGGTGAGAAGTTCGCCGACGAAAACTTCCAGCTCAAGCACGACAAGCCTGGTCTCCTCTCCATGGCCAACGCTGGTCCTAACACGTACGTTTTGCCCCTTTCAACCTATTTCTTAGGATGCTAGATTCTAACAGCTTGCAGCAACGGCTCTCAGTTTTTCATCACCACCGTTGTGACCTCTTGGTTGGACGGCAAGCACGTTGTCTTCGGTGAGGTCGCTGACAGTGACTCCTACAAGGTCGTCAAGGAGATTGAGGCTCTTGGCAGCAGCACCGGCTCTGTCCGCTCTGCTGTCAAGCCCACCATTGTCGACTCTGGTTCGCTCTAAGCGGTTTATTTCTAGAATATTTAGCTAGGCAGTGTAATCTAACGGTTCTGCCGTGTTGTGTTTGTCCTTGTACTATACATAAGTTGCTCGCATTGAGTGCTTTGTAAAGTAATACCCTGCACGTGGGGCCAACCCCGCCTTATATGAAGTCATATGAACGGTTAACCAGAATGCGTGTCCTCGGGCTGCTGACAGCCCTAACCTATCTTGGAGAGTACAGGTGCTATGTACTGACAGGGTATTTGTATTAACATTAATATGAACTAGAAGTGCAGCATGCAGGAACTATCGTACATCCCATGTGCCCGGAGTACGGACAAGGGTACAAAGTACTAGAGGACACCACGATACTCAAACAGACAAACAAATATTATTATTGCGTTCAAGTTCACCCACAACACCCAGTAACAGCAGTCGCATCATTCCTATCCTCATCAGCACACGTCTATCACCCTCCAGGGGCTACAGGGTAAAAGGGAACTCACTCATTCTCCGCAAGCCCCAACGGCTCCCACGAAAAGATAAAAGCACCCAGGAACGCCCCGATAAATATACATATGATAATATACCCATTGAAATACATCGCAAGCAACATGATGAAATATGCCACGGCGAATTGCAGCATATGCAGTGCTGCGCGGATGAGTTGTTCGATGAGCGTTGGGCGGATTATCCCGCTTCCGTTTGAATTTCCCAGGGTTCGTGGCTGCGTTGTAATGGGTGTTGCGGTTGTTTTGGCATCCTGGTTCTGGTTCTGGTTCTGCGACTGTTGTTGTTGGTCTAAAGCAGATGTCGAGTTCGAGTTCGACGATGACGGCGAGAATTTCCCGCCAGCGCCAACGCCAGCACCACTTCCAGTTGTAGAAGCAGACGGGGAGAGGAACTTGGCGCGCAACCTCGCCCTCTTCACGATAAACGCATCATATTCTCTCCCAACTCGTCGCAGAAACTCGAGGATCAGCACAAGGCAGATCACCCCGATACACGAGCCCGCGAACATCCCGCGCGAGGTGATGTGCCATGATTCAGCGAGAAAGCCTGTCGCCTTTTGTTAGGATCTATTTTCGTTCTGGTTTCTTTGCGGGTTTTGTTTGTTGTTTGGGATGATGGTCGTTTTGTTGCTTGGTAGGGGACAGGACGTACACGCATCAATAGTATTCCAGTTCCAAAGCATCGACACCTTGCACGATCCTGTGCCCATGTCCATTCCGCCCATGTCCATGCCTCCCATGTCCATTCCGGTGCTGGAGCTCATGGCGGAGGAGGCGGTTGCGGTAGCGGTGGAGCTCATCGTCATGGACATGTCCATATCCATCTTGGTGGTTTGTGAGTATCGGGCGTGGGAGAGTGGTAAGGAGGCGGAAAAGGAAGAGGAAAAAAAAGTAGTACGAACATCACGACGTGTGATTGTGTATCCAGCTTTTATTTAAAAAACGCAATTGTCGTATTGAATAAACGACCCCGGTCGGGCCAAGTCCACTGGCGCGATCGGCCGCGGGAGTTAAAGAGCATTTGAGCACATTTTCGGCCTGTCACATCTGGGTATTTTACTGCACGTACTCTATGTAAAAAACTACCGGCCTTTAACCACGCCATCCAACACCTCCCGAATCTGCTTACACCCATCAATCCCAACAGCCAGCATCGTCTCGATATACGTACAATGCACCTTCGAGTCCATATTCAGCATCGACACTTTCATCTCTTCTTCCTCCGGATCCGCCTCGTCCATCGCGATCTCACCAACCGGCACAGCAGTCGTCGTGCCAACAGTTAAAAACGGCAATTCCTGCTCCTCCGGCAGCGAGAGGTCCAATAACGGGTCTAGTGAGTCTTCGTTCGGGTCGCGAGGCGTCGACGCACTCCCGCTCATGCCTGCCGTGCAGCCGCAGAGGAGGCCGGGCATGGGGATTCCGGCGTCGACGAGGGCGAGCGTGCAGGCGTTGATTGCGGCGGCCAGGAGCGAGCCGTCAGACGAGAGGACGGAGAGGTGGATGTTGATTGTGCTGTGGGGGTAGAGGTAGGTGTGAAGGTGGGATTGGAAGGCGGCGCGGAGGGTTGTAGCGATGCGTGAAGATTGTCTTCGCATGTAGATTAGCAACACATCCAAAAAGTAGCCTCCGCCATCACCGTAGAAAGAAAGAAACGTACCGATCGCTCCCCCCAACCCTCCTCTTCCGATCAACGCCCGCAAACCCAGCAATATTCACATCAACCTCGACAATCGCCTCCGCAGAACCCGCCGCACCACCTGCAGAACCATCGCCCCTTCGCCCCTCTGCCGGTCCGTGGACGGAGCACATTATCGCCGTGTTGCCCATGCATAGGTACGAGGAGCCGGAGCTGGCTGGGTTGGTGGAGATTTGGGCTTGTAGGAGACGTAGCTCGTTCCAGCGGCGGCCGTCGAGACGGAGTTTGGTGAGGGGGTATGTTGTTGATGTGTCGAGGGGCATTTTCTTTGTTTATTGGGGGTGATTGTTGCGATTCGTGCAGTCGTGATGTGAGAGGAAATTTTGGTTGCGGGGAGTGTCGCGGAGATTTCGTTGCGATCGCGTGAATTCGGAGGATGTAGAGATGCTCAGAACAGGATATCAGGCATAGATCCCTGTAAGGAATTAAAATCGAGAAATCAAAAGAAAAGTAACAAAGCGCAGTAGTGGTGTCGCAGTTGCAGTGACAGTCGGCGGACAAAATCAGCTCCAGCTCTTTTTCCCGTTCGGGAATAATGCCGCCTTCTCCAACGCGCCTGATAACAGCCACAATCACAATCACTTGAACACGATGGGCGGCAACTGGGAGCTACTGGACTCGGACGCTTCTACAGTTGACTGCAATGAGGACGAGGAGGACGACGACGACGATCTGGAAGCTGTGTATCCTGTGAATCCTTCGCGTCCAGCTGTAAACCGGGGTATGTCATGTTGCGCCGCGCCTCGACATCCATTGGCTAACACAATATGTTCTTGGTAGATCATGTTCCTGTCGGGCATGAGATACAAACCCCGCCTGATCGAGCCCCTGTTAAGAACGAAATCATCTTCTCGCCCTCTGTGAAAGAAATCCAACCACCCGCCCCTGTCGTACAACTCTCCGATATATGCTCCGAATCCGACGACGATGATCCCAACATCAACGAAGGCGAGATCGCATACCAGAACTTCAAAAACCGCAAGTCTACTAAACGGAAACGAGTCCTTACCAGCGCGCGCAAGTCCAAATTTCCTAGAGATGGCACCGGTCAGCGGTCAAGGAATGAAGAGAAGAAGCCACGGCGCGATGGTTACAGAGAGTACAAAGAGGACCCGGTGTCGTCGGAAGATGATGGCATGGAGCATACACTGCCAGACTATGTACACAAGCGAAAGGCGCAGTTCGACCGGAAGACGGAGCTCCTACAGCAATCAGGGCTCAAGTTGCCTCCTGAATACGAGGACGTCGACTTCTCTGATAATGAGCGGTTAGCGCATCTACGGGAACGGCCGGAGTTTACCACGATGAAGCCCTGTCGGCCGTACGAGGACATTGCTCTTCCGTTTTCGCTGGGACTTATACCCGCTCCTATTGCGCAGTGGTTGAGACAGTACCAGGTGGACGGGGCTGCTTTTCTGCATGAGCTCTTTATCTACCAGAAGGGTGGGATTCTGGGCGATGACATGGGTTTGGGAAAGACAGTGCAGGTTATCGCATTCCTGACAGCCGCGTACGGAAAGACGGGCGACGAGCGAGATGCGAAACGCATGCGCAAGATGCGTCGCAGCGGCCAGGAGAAGTGGTATCCTCGAACGCTGATCGTGTGTCCCGGCACGTTGATACAGAACTGGCGGTCAGAGCTTAACCGCTGGGGCTGGTGGCATGTTGATGCGTATCGTGGTGAGAACAAGGAGTTGGCTTTACAAGCTGCCCGGTCTGGGAGGGTTGAGATACTTATTACGACTTATGGGACTTATCTGCAGAATAAGGATGCCGTTAACATGGTTGATTGGGATTGTGTGATTGCGGACGAGTGCCATGTTATTAAGGAGCGTCGGTCTGAGACGACAAAGGCTATGAATATGGTCAACTCTCTTTGCCGGATCGGATTGACCGGTACCGCCATTCAGAATAAGTATGAGGAACTCTGGACGCTTTTGAACTGGACGAATCCCGGAAAGCTGGGGCCGGTGACAACATGGAGGAAGACCATTTCGGAACCTCTGAAGATAGGCCAGTCACACGACGCCACCCTCTACCAACTCAGCAAAGCCCGTAAAACTGCCAAAAAACTGGTCGAGAATCTTCTCCCGCAGTTCTTTCTCCGCCGCATGAAGACATTAATAGCCGATCAACTCCCCAAAAAGAGTGACCGCGTCGTCTTTTGCCCTCTAACGGACACGCAAGCAGATGCCTACGAGAACATCCTGACCTGCGATATCGTCAGCTACATAAAAGACTCCTCCGTCTTCTGTGACTGCGGATCGAAAAAGAAATCCGGTTGGTGCTGCTACCAAACCCTCCCCTCAGGCCAGCGATGGCAAAGCTATGTTTTTCCAGCAATCGCGGTTCTGCAGAAACTCAGCAACCACCTCGCCATTCTAATTCCCCAAGGTGCCGATGTAAAGGAAAAGCAAGATAAGGACAAAGAAATGCTAGAAATAGCCGTCCCGGATCAATGGGATAAACTAGTCCGCACGCGAGACTCTATTATCAACTACGCGAATCCTGAATTTTGCGGGAAATGGAAAGTCCTTCGCAAACTGTTGAAGTGGTGGCATTCAAACGGGGATAAAGTACTTGTCTTCTCCCATAGCGTACGACTTCTCAAGATGTTGCAGATGCTCTTTCACCATACCAGCTATAATGTCAGCTATCTGGATGGATCGATGAGTTACGAAGACCGCACCAAGGCCGTTGACGAGTTTAACTCTGATCCGCAGCAGTTCGTCTTCCTCATTTCGACGCGGTCTGGTGGCGTTGGGTTGAATATCACATCAGCAAACAAGGTTGTCGTGGTCGATCCGAACTGGAACCCATCGCATGACCTGCAAGCTCAGGACCGGGCGTATCGTATCGGCCAGAATCGAGACGTAGAAGTCTTTAGACTTATCTCAGCGGGCACGATTGAGGAGATTGTCTACGCGAGGCAGATCTACAAACAGCAGCAAGCTAATATCGGGTACAACGCCAGCAGCGAACGACGTTATTTCAGTGGTGTGCAGGAGAAAAAAGACCAAAAGGGCGAGATCTTCGGTCTGAACAACCTCTTCGAATACCAAACCAACAACATCGTCTTACGGGATATTGTCAACAAAACCAACGTCGCAGAAAGCCGTGCAGGAGTCAGTGTTATGGGCGTCCAACTAGACGAAGAAGACGAAGACAAACCCTTCCCTAACCCAACGAAACGAAATTCCGACGACGATGACGACCAAGTCATGAGCCAGCTCGCAGCCGCTATGATCCGCGGCGATACAGACGCGCCGCCGGCTAGAAAAGAAGAAGATAATGACGAGAAACAATTCAGGATAACACCTAAAGCGAAACATGACCCCATCGAAGCCATCCTCACTGGCGCAGGCGTCGAATACACACACATGAACAACGAAGTCATTGGCTCCTCCAAAGTCGAAAAACACATCTCCCGCCGCGCGCAACTAACTGAAGAATCCACCGCCAACGCAAACGTGCACGCTTTTATTTCCAGTCTCGACTCCCAAGACAATACACTCACTCTCTTAGATACTAACATCAAAGGTGATAACGACGCCACCCTCCACTTCAAATACCACCCACCGCCGGATGTCATGAAACGACAGTTCTGTAGTATGGCGAGGAGGTTTGGGTTCCCGAATGCGACAGAGTTTGCTTTAGTTGTGGAGAGTATGACGCAGGCTCAGAGACGGGCTTGTTTGGAGAGGTGGTATGGGGAGAGGAGAGAGAGACTTTTGGGGAGGTGACTGTTGCTGTGTTGACTATACGGAATTACTTATTGCTAGGTAGGTATGGAGTACTTGTTACGTGTGCTATTTGATAACGACTAATGGCTATAGGGTATAATAACCTGTTATACGTACACAACTACCACAGAGATCCGCGGGCAAACAGCGTCAACACTCTTCCCCCGTCCCGACATTGAGTTCCAGCTCACCGCGCAATCGGCTTCACCTGGATGAAAGCCGCATCTACACCCCTCCGACGCTGTCTTCTCAAAGAATGCCGGAAAACATCGTCTGCGCTCGTGCTATACACCACCCCGTGGTAGTGGTGGAAGACGGGGTCGTTGTGACGTGTCCATAGCTATGTCGGTGGGATAGGTTCGCAGAAGCAGACGAGGTATTGGAAGTGGTAGTTTAAAGATATTTGAACGTTCACATTAAAGCAGGTTTTGGATAACAGTGTCTGTTGGACTGAGGTGTCGATGGCGGTAGCAGGCAGACATCTCAATACATCACGACTCACGACTTCTTCATGCTGTATCATGCTATAGACCACAGCAGCATAAATAAGACCAACACACAAAACAAGTAAAGATGACAGACAATGTTGGAAATATATATATTCATTTAATTTGCTCGTCAAAAATAAAAAGCGGGTTGTGATGCTATCCCAACCATTCCATACCTTGCCGCCTTCAGCTCTATCAAGTCGTCGCGTCACCACGCTTGCTTCCCTGCTGCCTCCAGCTCCCTATTTATCACCTCCCACCTAACCCTCTCTTCCTTCCTTCCTTCTTCTCTCCTCACGCATCCTCATCACAAAATCCATCCACGCCACATCATCCCCTCCCATCTCAAACCTCATCAAGCCTTCCATGAACAGCAGGGTAAGGCCTGGGAGATGGATTAGGGAGGGTAGTAGCACGAGTAGTGCTCTGGTTGGGTTGGGTTGGGTGGCGTGGCGTGGTGTGTACTGGGCCACGGTAGGGAGGCTGGTACAGTGGTGGTCTGTTGGCAGAGCACAACACAGCATAGTACAGTGCAGTACAATATGACTAGATAGCTTGAGCTTCTCGCCATGGTGCGAGATTTTTGAGTGATCTGGTTGCCGTATTTGCGTTTTTGGTTCTGTGCTGTGTTCTGCCATTGGAACCACGACTGTACTGGTCGACTGATCAGGCTTGTGGGAGTTGTACATAGAGTTATTTGGTATCTGGACAGCAGGCTTTGCTTGGCGTTTTTGATATCTAGATAGCTTGGTGGTTTGCTTTCGCAGTAAGTCCTGGTTGGGCGGTGGGTTGGGCCTGGGACACACGCACACACACAATCCTGGGCGGGTAGTTTGGGAAGGAGCTGTGTTTTGTGCTGTACTGACCACAATACAGTAACTGGCCCATGGAGGGAGGCTTGTACGGTGGTGGTCGACTGGCTCATGGGACTCAGGGAGCTTGAGCATCTCGCCGCGGTGGGCAGGCGGGTTGAGCGAGATACTGTGAGCACCTGCACGTTCTGTGTGTCCAGAGACCAAGCGGCCGTGCCTGCCGACTGATCAGGCCTGTACAGGGTTCCGTCTCGGCAGCAAGTTCTGATTGGGTGGTAGGGTTGGGCCTGGGCACGCATATACTAGCCATACAGCAACCGGCCCGTTGGTAGGGAGGCTGGTATGGTGTCTGGTCGGCTGGCACGCAGTGCATCCAGGAGCCTTGTTGAGATGGATTGTTGCTGATATGACACATGAAAACAGAAACGACGAAACAGAACAGGCCCCGGTTGGGTGGGGGGACAGGGCTGGGCTAAACAGTTTAATTGCTGCCTATGCATCGATCTCCAAAGGTATGAATTCCGAGATACTTTCAGCGTACTAACGGCCCTGAGCATCACCGATGCTTGGGCACCTCCCCATCAACGTGTCCCGGCAGCGCCGGGGGCTTGAAGGGGGATTAGGGCAGTACAAGCGCCTGTCTTACCATCAGAACTCTCGAGTTGGGTTAATGTTGGGATCGAATATCAAGCTGAACCATAATTGTATTAAGTTGTTATGCACACAGGGTATTATGTTGAACCAAACAATCAGAAACAAAAGTCTTATAACCAAGCCAAGGTCCACAACGCCGGCAAATTCGTCCATTTCTCCTGCCACGCCGCCAGAATCTCAGGAACTTTCTCATCGAAACTCCGTCGTGCTTCACCATTACCATTCTCCCAACCCTGCTCCCCATTCACTTTACGCTCCAGAGCAGCGGCCTCATTGAGTCTATTAGCTAGTTCGAGAATAGCCTTACCCCCCACCAGAGCCTCCTCGTGGTTATCTTTGATATCGACGTTGAATACATGCACGGGCCTGTTAAGCACGGAGCCCTTATTCATGAGATCGTCGACGACGGCGTCCCAGCACCGCTCCTCGCAGGTGATTATGACATCCACGACGCCGCCCTCAGTGCCAATAGCGCCCTTATCACCTTTGGAAACGTGATCGACGCGCGGCGCGCCGGGGACCCAGTCCTGGAACCGCTCGGGGCCCCATTTGAGATTGCGGTTGCGCTCCAGCATGTTCAGGAGGCCATTACTACGGTACAGCCGTTCGTCCTTGGAGAAGAGCTCTTCATACATCTGGGAGTACGAGGTTGAGTTGAAATTGTAGACGTTGGGTTGGGTGATGGACGGGCCTGGGAGGCGGACGAGCGACCCCGTGCCGAAGGAGACGACGGGGAAGGGAGACGCTGCCGTCGAGAGACGAAGGTGGGCCTCCATTGACCGGTTCTGGTTTGAGGCGCATACTGTGCAAAACTTGAGCTTGTACGAGTCGGATGCGGCTGGTGTCACTTCTGCCGGCTGGGACTCAAGGCCGTTGTCGTTGGCTATCTCTGCACAGGCACTCTCCGGAGGAGGGGGTGGAGGAGGTGGGGGAGTTGCAGTCCCCGTGTGTGCCAGGCGAGGATCATGGGCCATGTTGATTTATGTAAAGATAGATAGAATGTAGGATGGAAAATTAAAAGGGATAACACAGGTTGACACCCGAGATACAGAATCAGGGAGGTTGGAAAACGTGTTCACTATTTCCTAGCAACGACTGACTGTTAATTAGCCTCAATCCATACCACAAGATTGGCAGTGAATAAAATTTAGACAAAAGCAACGATTCAGAAAGATGAAAAGCGTATAATATGTTTTATCCGCATTGTGTGCTAGGACAGCTCCAATAAGAGGATCATCATAATACTACTGGGGGAAGAGGAATACTACATGATTGAGCACGAACATACCTTAGAGAAACCGTTCATTATCTGAAATCACAAGAATTGGTGGTGTAAAGACAAGGGCCGCAGCCCTCCGAGAGAAGTGAAGAAGAACTTTTCAAGCTGGAGAGTTGCGGCTGAGCTTTTTATGTCCAGTCACGTGCTGATGAGTCAGATATTGCACTACGCTATTTTGAGACAGCGTCTCTTGGCTAGCGATAAGCCTTATCGCGATTTTGCATGACAGCTTCAAGATATCCCACTTCGCACTTTGTACTCTGGAAGAATTGCGCTATTGCTCGAACACCTAGAGAAGATGACTACTAAACCCAGAGCAGCACTGATAGTGGTGGACATGCAAGAGGATTTCTGTCCACCCGTAAGTCGACATCCATACATAAGACTCTTGAAAACACCACTAACACAACCAGAATGGAGCCCTGGCAGTTGAAGAAGGTCGCTCAATAGCACCAGTGATCAACTCACTCCTCGACCACCCCAGATTCACAACTCGGATAGCAACCCAAGATTATCACCCTCCAGACCACATCTCCTTCGCCGTGAACCACCCACCACCCAACAACATTCCTTTTGAATCATTCATTACCATGACCAATCCTGCTCCGGGGAAAGAAGCTGAGACGAAAGTGCAGCGGCTCTGGCCCGTACATTGTGTCACTGGGACCGAAGGGGCATCGCTAATCCCCGAGCTTGACTCGAAGCACTTCGATGTACATGTTAAGAAGGGAATGAATTCGAACGTGGAAATGTATTCCGCATTCTCAGATGCATTCGGGAATCTGCATACTTCATTGCCTGTTTTGGGAGATGGGGATGGTCGAGTAGTCGATGTTGATCTGGAGGCTGTTTTGAAGGAAAGAGAGATTCGGGATGTGTTTGTTGTTGGGTTGGCAGGGGATTACTGTGTGAAGTATACGGCGATTGATGCAGCCAAGGCTGGGTTTAGGTCATTTGTTGTTGAGGAGGGGACAAGATGTGTCGTGAATTCGGGGTGGAAGGAGATTAAGCAGGAATTGAGGGATGCTGGGGTGGGTGTTATTGGGGTTGATGAGCTGAAGTCGCTATGATTGGGCGTGGCTTTACAGAGTAGTTACTATGTAATTAGATGCTTTAATGAAGACATGTAGCTCTTTACTACGTATACCGAGTATTGCCGTATTACGCCTACAATAATAAAACCAAGAGGAATCAAAAATACCACTTTCATAAATGAAGCTACAGCTCCTCTCCGTGCTGAAAGTATTTTTTCACATGCCAATCACTTCCGACTCCAACGATGCGGGTCTGGTCTCCGCCTTCCAAAGTGGCATCTGTTGTTTGGGGATTCTCTTTCGGTTCGACATGAGATAACAGAGACACCATCAACTCGCAGGACGAGCATACAGCTGCAATAACCACAGCCATGCCTCATTTCATAAACCCCTCCACTCCAGCTGCCACGTTCACGGCCATCGACGAGAAACTGACCACCGCCGAGCCCGCCGCTCTTTCTCTTGACCAGTCAACCTCCAATGGATCAGGATCCCTGCCCTACTGGCTCATGAACATACCCCGGGATCAATGGCCCGCAGAATGTCCGGATTTCCTGCGTGACCTTTCGGAAAAAAACATACAGATCTTATCTACGCCAGATGAGCACCACGAGATACAGGATTGGGAACTGGTCAAGGAGTTTATAAGTGCGTAGGCTGTTGTCATGGAATCAAGGAGGAATACTGAGACAAGTTAGGAACGAACCGAATCGACCGCTTCCGGAGACCTCCGTCGCATTTGAGGAAGTATCTGGAGTTTATAACGCAGATCAAGACGCGGTATGGATCGGTGATGCGGTTTATAGTCAAGGAACGGCTACGCTGGGGAGATGGAGATGACTTGGACGCGTTGAAGCCGAAAGGTCGACCGTTTGAATACGATGGTCGGTTTTGCCCGCAATGAGCATATGATGTCGTTCTAACAGGGATTGAACAGAGGACATCAAGACCCTGTATAATGACTGGCCGTACGGAGTGGAAGAGGGGATTATCCACCTGGTTGTATGGGTGAAGTTCGAATTGGAGGACGATCCAGCCACGGACGATCTGACACCACGAGCAAGGAAGGAGATCGACGACTATGTGAAGAAGACATTCTGTTCGCGGGTGCCACCGGAAAGGGTAAGTAGCTTCTAGCTTCCCTCGTTCTTCGCCCTACACTACACTGCTAATTTGGCTGTAGGTCATCTGGTTCAAGAATTGGAAGTCTCTCAAATCAGTCCACGCAGTAGAGCATTTCCATGTAATGCTCTACCAGCCAGACATGGAGTTTGTCCGGGAGATCACAGAAGGGGATGTTCCACTGATTGCGACGTTTTAAACAATTGGCATCTTCTATTTAGCTTCTAGATGAGATATGACATACGTAGCATAGACTGAAACCGGGTAAAGCGTATATAATAGGTCTCTAGCGCCTCAACATTCTCCTAATAAATAGTTCCATCCTATTTATATTGTGGCAACGTCACTCGCGCCCACCGCCAGAAAATCAGGAGTTCATTAGATCGATTCCTGCAGCTGTTCTTTTCTTCCTTTTGAATTTCCGTGCATTATCACCAAGACCTCTAAAGATTCAGGGATATCATTTTGTATAGAAACAGTATGGTACCGGGCATAGCGCATCTCCGCACTCGCAGCCGGGCGTCGAGTGAGTGAACTCATTATTCCCCTCCATCGCTCCAACGTCATCCATTCATCGTCTTTTCGTCCCCTCCTTCGCCCTCTCACTTCCCTCTGTATTCCTTGCTCAACCATATCACATAAAATTCGCCTCCATCCGGATCGTCATTTCTCCACCAGTTTATTTCTCATTATGTCTTCTGACTGGGGCTCTTGGTTTTATTCTTCAGGTAATGCTCGGTCTTCGATCGACGACTCCAACCGCAGTGACGTCCACAGCGGCGAGGATGAGACCGTCGAGCCCGATCAGGGAAATGGTATGTCCTCTCTATATTCTCTGCCCCTCTATATTTGAGTATGATGGTTGATGCTTATTGTATTAGTGCTTTCGCACATCATCTCCCAGTTGCGACCGGGTGCAGACTTGAGTCGAGTCGTTCTTCCTACATTCATTCTCGAGCCACGATCCATGCTAGAAAGAATAACCAAGTCTGTTTCCTATATCTTCTGTCGGTCTATGAGCGATAAGCTGACTGTTCCGATAGCTTCATGGCACACCCCGAAACACTCCTTCCTATGACCACCATCGATGACCCCCTCGAGCGCTTCGTGTCCGTTGTCCGGTTCTACCTAAGTGGGTGGCATATCAAGCCTCCGTACGTCGATCTCCATACTCTGTATTCTCTCTTAGCCGTGGTGCAGTTCTAACAATATCACTTGCAGAGGCGTGAAGAAGCCGCTAAACCCAATCCTCGGAGAGACCTTCACCGGATACTGGGAATATCCCGATGGCACGCGCGGGTATTACGTCGCCGAACAGACCTCGCACCACCCGCCCAAGTCGAGCTATTTCTTCATGGCCCCTGAACACAACATCCGGATAGACGGGACTTTGAAACCGCGTAGTAAGTTCCTGGGCAATTCCGCAGCTAGTCTGATGGAAGGTGTTGCCGTCTTACGGCTTCTGAACAAAGGTCAGAACCAGGAGAAAGGCGAACGATAGTATGTTTTCCTATCCTTTGGATTTCGGGTTCAGTGCTGACTGCAGCAGTATCCTGACGCAGCCCAACATGTACGCCCGCGGTATTCTCTTCGGGAAGATGAAGTATGAACTCGGAGATCACAGTTATGTCCGATGCCCGGAAAACGACCTGGTTGCGGACATTGAGTTCAAGACTAAGGGCTACTTTTCCGGTACTTACAATGCGATTGGCGGGACCATCAAGAACGAAAAGACCGGAGAGGTATACTACGAGCTTTCTGGTATGTGGAACGGGGTGATGACCATTAAGAATGTCGCGGTATGTCCATTCCGTCTTCTTCCTCGAAAGAGATAAGCTGACGTCGTTATAGACACACAAGAAAGAAACACTTTTCGACGCAGTACATGCCAAGCACACCCCTCCCCTGCACCGACCGATTGAAGAGCAAGGTGACCGGGAATCACAAAAGTTATGGTACGACACGGTCCAGGCAATCATTGCCCGCGATCACGACGCCGCAACAGATTCAAAGACCGCGATTGAGGATCGCCAACGTGAAGAAGCAGCCAAGAGAACCGAACAAGGAGTTGAATGGCAACCAAAACTCTTCCGTCATGTCCAAGGAGGCCCTGGTGGCCCGGACGAGGGCGAGGAAGACCTAGACTGGATCATTGATGCGAAGGTGTAAGTGCAAATCTATCCAAAGAGGGTGGAAGTAGACTGACCTGTATAGTGAACCTCACAACCCCGAGGTTGCCATCAAACAAATCCTATCCATCGCCCCGATTCTGCCAGGCCAGAAGAACGAAATTCCCGCGGCAAGCCAATAAACACATGGCCACTGATGTCGTGCGACAATAGGGTTGCAAGTCCTCAGCGGATTCCGGGCAATGAAATACGGACGCGCTCTCGACCGTCTCGACTCGCTGCAGGTGGCAGCGTTAGACCTACCGTGGTCTGGTGTATTTTTTTATTATTACTTCAATACCATAATTATTTTTACGTGTGATGCAAGCCAGCGATCTGGACCGGGGTAGTTAACCTGCTCAGAAGACTATGGACGGTCGTGATGATCCCTGTGGCCCCGCATTTTATCTTGTCGACTGATTTACTTGCATTTATATACAATACGCTGGATACCCGATTTGATTTTACAAGACTGGAAAAAGTTTGGAAGACGGACGCGCGGGAGAGAGATGGGTTGGGAATAATACTTGAATATTGAATCATGTGCATAAAGAGATACCGGATTGATAGACAAATAAATGATCATGTATCCAGGTTTTGATGCCACCCACCAGGGATATCTTGCAACCGTAACTCCAGAGCCAGACGCCGTTTTATGACCAACAAACACAAAAGAAGAGTAAAGTTACGAATATAACTCCCCCCGATATCCAGCCCCCCTCTCCAACTCCCTCCTCCGATTATTCCGCGCCCGAATAACCCCATTCCCACCCCCTTCGCGCTCTTCTCTCTCCTCCTCAATCTCAGCAGTCTCCTCATCAATCGCCTGCTCCGTATCCTCCCTCAAACCCAGAATATCAGGCGGAATAAAACTCATCTGCACACTCGGCGCCCCCTGAATATACCGTAACTGCTCCCTCGCCGCCTGCACAAGAGTAGCCAGATAGGGTCGCGAATTTCGATTCTCAAGCCGCCGCATCTCAGACAACGGCGGGAAAAGCGAAAAGTCCGGCCCGAAGTGGTTGCGGAAGGACACAGAGGTCGGGATATGCGGGTCGATGATGTCCTGCGCGTCGATGAGGATGGAGGTCTCGTGGGCCCAGGCCCGAGATACGTTGCGCGGCGTGTAGCCGCCGCCGCCGCAGACGAGGAGTGGCAGGTTGAATGTTTTCACGAAGGCGACACAGGCGCCGTGCGCGCGGACATTGAGGTTGAAGCAGCCCAGGCGGTCGCAGCCTAGGGAGTCTGCGCCGCATTGTAGGACGATTGCGCCCGGACGGTAGGTTTCGACGGATGCGCCGACGATTTCTTGGAAGAGTTGGATGTAGGAATCGTCGTCAATGCCGTCGTGGAGGGGCACGTTGAGGGCGTGGTGGGCGCCTGGGTTTAAGGGGTGGTTTGGGCCTGTGGATTCGAGAGCGCCGGTGCCCGGGAAGAAGTTGTCTTTGTCGTATTTGTGAAAGGAAACTGTGAGGACGCGGTCTGTGGACCAGAAGGCTTGCTCGACGCCGTCGCCGTGGTGCACGTCGATGTCGATGTACATGACGCGCGGGTGGTGGCGGAGGAGCTGGAGGATGCCGAGGACGATGTCGTTGACGTAGCAGAAGCCGGATGCTTCTGCTTTTTTGGCGTGATGTAGGCCGCCGGACCAGTTTACTGCGATTTCGGATTGGTTGTTGCAGAGTTTCCGGGCGGCGTCGATGGTGCCGCCTGCATAGAGGGAGCAGTAGTTATAGAGCCCGTCGAAGATGGGGCAGTCGTCACCGAAGTTGAAGCGCGCGACGTTATCGCTTTGGTCTGCGTTCTCGATGTCGCCTGGTACCACTTGTTGGAGGAAATCGAGGTAGTCTGATTTGTGGAAGTCGGCCATTTCTTCGTATGTTGCGGCGCGCGCTAGGTAGAGGTCCATAGCGTGGTGCATCCCGTATGCCATCACTAGTTGCTTTGTGAGTGTTAACCGCCATGGTTTCATGGGATGTGACTGGCCAAAGTGGTGTGGTTCGACCGCTGGGTTGGCGTGCCATGAGACTCGGTAGCCTTGTGGACGGGGGATGCCATTGTTTTGGCGTTCGAGGGCTGTCCTCTCGTCGAGGGTAAGGGTTGGAGATGATGAGTATTCCTGGACTATTGCTGAGCGGGCCATTGCTTGTGTCTAGAGAGATGATGAACTAAGAAGAGGAAGAAGTCGACGTCGCGGAGTGCAGATCCAAAGTCCGCATCTGGAATTCGTCGGCCAATCAGAACCTCAGCACGAATCAGGGTTTGCCGACTTAACTCCGGATTACTAACACCGACATCGGGGAGTAACTACCTGATGTGGCTGCGCCGTCCGGAGATATAACAAGAGCTTGATTCAGGAAGGCGAAGTCAAAGAAATTTACCGGACTGTGCTACTGATTTGCCTATAATTTAGCTTGTTCTCCCCTCCAGAAATCAATTCTTCAAGATAGAGCACAGCTTGTCCTGAATCCTCGAAATGCCCATCATCACCGCTGCCACGACCCTGCGTCGTGCCCTACAAGACCCCGAGTGCTTTATTTCTGCCCCTGGTGTCTACGATGGTGTTTCTGCGCGGATCGCCTTGTCCGTTGGCTTTGACGCTCTCTACATGGTGAGCATCTCTCCCAATTGTTCTATTCAGTGCTAACATGTTAGACCGGCGCCGGCACCGCCGCCTCCGTGCACGGCCAAGCAGACCTCGGCATTTGCACATTGAACGATATGCGCACCAATGCCGAAACTCTCGCCAACATCTCCCCCTCGACACCCCTTATCGCTGACGCAGACACCGGCTATGGCGGCCCCATTATGGTCGCCCGCACGACTGAGCAATACTCCCGCTCCGGCGTGGCAGCCTTCCATATCGAAGACCAAGTCCAGACCAAACGCTGCGGACATCTTGGTGGGAAGATTCTTGTTGACACAGACACGTATGTCACGCGGATCCGCGCGGCTGTGCAGGCGCGTCAGCGCATGGGGAGCGATATCGTTGTGATTGCGCGGACAGATGCGCTTCAAAAGCACGGCTATGAGGAGAGTTTGGACCGTCTCAAGGCTGCGCGGGAAGCCGGCGCGGATGTTGGATTCCTGGAAGGTATCACATCGCGTGAAATGGCGAGACAGGTAGTTAAAGATCTGGAGGGGTGGCCGTTAGTTCTGAACATGGTGGAGCACGGAGCTACGCCGTCGATCTCGGCGCAGGAGGCCAAGGAGATTGGATTCAAGCTTATCATCTTCCCGTTTGCGGCGTTAGGGCCTGCGCTAACTGCTATTCGGTCTGGGATGGAGAAGCTTAAGAAGGATGGGTTGCCGGGGTTGTCGGAGGATATGACGCCGCAGACGCTATTCCGGGTTTGTGGGCTGGATGAGAGTATTAAGGTTGATGCGGATGCTGGGGGTGGTGCTTTTGAAGAGGGTGTTGATTTGAAGAGGACGGGCTGAGGGGAAACTCATAATCCTGGTTACGATGTACGTCTATATTATTAATACAATTTATTTGCTGTAAGCTCAATCCTTCCAATCAGATTCCCTTTCATTTCCTAGAATAAGCTGCAGGACCATTTCGGACAGACACATATTCTCCGTATCCGGAATGCAGTCTTTGTTGCTAGCAATTATGTATTTCCGCTTTGAAACCCATTGATTCACAACGAATGAATCAACACCACGAATTCAAACCGAACGCATCGTGATTTTATCCTGCTTTGTTGTCGGTCGGACTTGAATGGCCGAAGTCCGGATGGGATCGGGGATGGTTACACCGATGCACCGTTACCCTACAGGGTTGGAGAAGCAATCATGCTCTCTCTGTTTCTTTTTTTCTTATTTATTCTTCATTTCCTTTTATTTTCTTGAAATGCAGTTTTCACGCTGAAAATATGTTGTTATCAACGCTGCTCAGTTCTGTTGCTGTGATCTTCATCCTGGTAAGTTGACCATCGTATTAGCCACGGAGTGTACTAACTAAACAAACAAAGAAAATCCTATATGACAGAATCAGGAGCCCCTTGGCCCATCTTCCTGGCCCCGAAATCTCGAAATGGACGGGGATAGTCACGATATTCTACTGGTTCGCCGGAAAGAAACCAAATTATGTGCATTTTCTCCATCAAAAATATGGCCCAGTTGTCCGTGTTGGCTTTGAAGAGGTCGATATCTGCGATATCGACGCTGTCAAAGTGATCTACAGAGCCAGAGGAGGTTTTCTCAAATCAGCACGGTTCTATCGCACGTTGTCGGCCGTGGAGACTCTGTTTTCCACTACGGATCCGGCGTTTCATTCTGCTCATCGACGTCTCCTTGCAAATCCTATCTCGGACTCGTCCCTGACGCGTTTTGAGCCGCTTATTGCTGATAGGATTCGTTTGGCTGTTGATAAGATGTCAGACGAGTTCGAGTCTCGTGGTGTTATCGACGTGTTTAAGTGGTGGTTCTTCATGGCGACTGATGTCATTGGGGAGTTGAGTTTTGGCGAGTCATTCCGCATGCTGGATTCCGGGGAGGTGTGTATTGGCTTCATTTACTTCACTGAAAATGAAGGGAGGTCTGATCCTGCAGAAAACTCAATACATCGTGGATCTTCAAAAGCTCGGCTCCATCTCGCCCATCCGAACAACATTCCCTTCGCTCGTGCTACTAGCATCTCGTCTCCCCCTCCCAATCTTCCGAAAAATATCCGACATAGGCCAGAGATTAAAAGGATATGCTCAACAATCAATCGACCGCTACAAGCGCGTGATTTCAGAAAGTGACGATCCAAAACCCACCCTGTTCACAAAGCTGTACAACGCCGGCAAAGATGGCCTGTCCGACATCGAAATTAGAAACGATGCGCAGGCATATATAGTCGCCGGAAGTGACACAACCGCTATCACACTGACCTACCTCGTCTACTCGGTTTGCAGGGATGTGAATATCCGCGAGAAACTTGTCGCAGAGGTTGCTTCTCTTCCGGAGGGGTACACTGACAGGGCTCTTCGGGATTTACCGTACCTCAACCAGGTTATTGATGAGACTCTGCGGCTGCATACTGTAGTTTCTATAGGTTTACCAAGGGTTGTTCCGAGAGAGGGTGCGAACTTGTCTGGTTATCAGCTTCCTGGGGGAGTCACTGTTACTACGCAGGCTTACAGTCTTCATCGCAAGGAAGATATATTTTCTGAACCATATAAGTGAGCTTCTTCCCTGTTCGCACATGCTTACTTAATCTTGATACTGACTACGCTAAAGATTCAATCCTGACCGATGGGAAACCCCCAGTAAACAAATGAAGGATGCCTCGATGCCATTCGGAGGAGGCTCACGCAGTACGTCACGGTTCCACTGAACTTGGAATATTCCATTCTAATTTATGTCTAGTTTGTATCGGCATACACCTCGCCCGTATGGAACTACGTCTGGCAACAGCGCTCTTCTTTCGGACTTTTCCGCAGGCCCACGTATCTACGAAGGAAGGAATGGCACATGAGGACATGGAGATGGAGAGCTACTTTCTAATGTCACCGAAGGGACATCGCTGCCTTGTGGAAGGGTAGCGGATATTCTTGGTGAAGTGCAGAGGGAGAGAATCTAGATTGCGAATGGTGATTGAGGAACAGTAATGCATTTATTAGGAAGTGTTTGGCATTACCATGTGATACTAGTTTTCTATTTGTAAAACAAGATCAAACAATTGGACATAACCTTGAAAAAATATCTCCCTCGTCGCTATCTAGCACGCCCAACCATGTAGCATTCGAGTGTCTGCTGGCACGTCGTGGGCTGAAAATTCCTCATTGAATATATTTGGCTATGGCGCAAATTGGACACAGAGGATGGTCACAGACATTATTAGTGGTAGTGCATGACAAAAGGGCTCGCGCTCTTAACATTCCGAAATGGGAAAAGGCGGCGCTCTTTACTTTCTTGATTTGGTGTAGATTGCCCGCTCGTCGGATGCCTTTTTGGTCAAGCACATAACGATATAGTACGCTGTCCATTAGCATGGACTTAAGAATAGAGAAATCACCTGAGCACGAATATACATCATGATATACGGCATGGACATATAAAACCTCTCCGAGGGGCACGAATGGCCTATAGTACACAACCCTTCAGACTCCATTTCTCTCTCCATCGAAAAACCATGGCTCTAACACTACTCATCACTACCCTCCTAGTCTGCTTCTGCATAAATTCCCTCCTCACCTACCTCCACCTCCGAAAATACCCTGCCCTAACCTCCCTCTCCAGCCTCACCAACCTGTCCTACCTCTACTACCGCTCCCACCCCTTCCGAACCAAATACCTTTACCACAAACACAAACAACACCCCATCATCCGCCTTGCCCCAAACACCCTTTCGTTCGCCTCTACACGAGCCATAAAAGACATTTACGGCCATGGCACGCCCTGCCGCAAGGATGATGTGTACTATTTGACCATGGGCAGTCATGCGAATGTTCTGAATGTTGTGGATCGGGGGCAGCACGCGCAGAAACGGAAGATGTTGGCACATGCTTTTGCGGCGAGGAATCTTGAGCGGTGGGAGGGGAAGATTGGGGAGAAGGTTAGGAGGTTGGTTTTGCAGTTGGATTGGCGATGTTTGGCAGAGGGTGGATCGGTTGAGTCGGCGGATGTTACCGTTGATTTTAGGGCATGGTTGAATCTCTTTACTGTTGAGGCTGTTGTTGACTTGGCATTAAGTGAGAAGCTTGGTTTGCTTGGTTTAGGGGTGGATAGGGTTGCAGTTGAGGGGGGTGATGGGGTCAAGTACATTGATAGCTTGCATTGTGGAGGCAGGTTTGTTTCTACATTTGTGGGTGCGACGGACTGGTTTCGTTCCTTGAAGACTGTCTCAATTTGGTTTTCTCCGTATCTGCGCTCGCAATGGGAGCGTGGTCAGAATTTTGGCATGATCGTCCGTACCCTGGTCGATAAACGGTTGCGGAGAGATGAATCTGGTGAACAGTTGGATGACTTTCTCGACTGTTTGATTACTGACAAAAAGGGTAATGCGCGCTGTCTTGACAGGGGAGAAATCGAAGCTGAAGCGGGTATACTCTGTGAGTTGGTGTTATGGGAGTTATGGTATACATGCTAGTACTAACTTATCCCTGCAGTGGACGCCGGCTCCGATACAACCGCAATTGCCTTGACGCACGCCTTGTACTACCTTATCAAGAACCCACGCTCACTGGAAATACTTAGGAAAGAGGTAGCCGATGCGTTATCTGAAGAAACCATCGCACCCTACGCAAAAGTGAAAAACCTGCCCTATCTAAAGGCATGTCTTGACGAATCACTGCGTCTCTCCCCTCCTGTTTCAAGAGGCGTCGAACGCAGAACGCCTCCCGGCGGCACGGAAATTTCAGGAGAAAGCATCCCTGGTGACGTCGCCGTTTCCGTTCCGACATACGTTGTCCATCGTGATCCAACAATATTTTCAGACCCAGATGAGTTTCGGCCTGAGAGATGGTTGGAGGATGGAGAGGAGGCTAAGCAAATGCGGGATGCGTTCATCCCGTTTAGTACTGGTGCTCGTGGCTGTATTGGACGCAATATATCTATGATTGAGCAGCAGATTGTGATCGCGACGCTTGTTCATAGATATGAGTTTGCGTTGCCGTATGGTAATTGGGAGTTGGAATGGGAGGAAGCATTCCTCTTGTGGCCAGCTAAGATGCCATTGAAGATCTGGAGAAAATAAATCTCAATGTGTTAGGAGAATTGGTATATTTTTTCCAGTCATCGTACTTTTAGTATCGCAACATGATTTCATTCATTTGTCGGTCAAAGTTGATCTGCGATCATAGTGTTCTCAGCAGGTCTTGACCTGCTGCTGTAGTTGCCTGATTCGATCACCAGTATGGAAGCCGAGCTGACTCTCAATCCGGTCCAAAAGCGCCCATATCTTAGCCTTTCCACACACAGGGTTGATATGTTTTGCGGCTGTCAAATATGAGCTCTGACAAAAGTTGGGATTATGGGATGAGAGTACTCACCATAAAAAAGTGGTTGTACTGCTTGCACTAGAGCACCGTCGGAAATAGGCGAGAGGGCTACACTTGCGATGGAACGCGCGTTGTTGTCAATATCAGACTATAAGCCAAATCAGACAGTGCAGAAAGAGTGATGCGCATGACAGAGTAAGACTTACCTGTAGAGCGTCTTGAGTTGATAAAGAAAAATTGCACCCTTCCACGAGCAGTAGGAGATATGCTAGATGGTACATACACATTGCAGCCGCTGGATCTTCTTAGTTTGACAACGTATTTTAGAAATATTCAAGCGAGGAGTTTACCTGTTGACGGTATGGCAAACCAGCGTTTAACAAAGCCCTCCGGAGAAGGGGGCCCATATGTTGTACCCCTGAATGATGCGGGCAAGCTCTCGAACCAAGCATTGAGCTCCCTCATCAAGCTGGTTTGGGTGCTACGAAGCAATTCAATTGACAGACCGTTTGTTTCTCCAAACGTATGCGCAACGATCTTGGACAAGAGCCAGATCAGTTTGTTTCCCAGCCGGTCTTCCCTTGTTTCTTGCTCGACCCAAGAGACATCCCATTCCTCGGGCGGGAGCATGGTAGGACGTTCATGCACCAAAGCCATTGCAAGGTCTTGCCGGGCATACACCCAGAACGCCGCCCCTATCAAGCCCTGCGAGCTAGCTTTACACCCATGGCTTTTGATCAGAGTGAGCGCTCCCGACACATGCCGCCGGTGGTCCAGCCCAGGCAGGACAAGGAGTTCATAACTGCTTAGTAGAATGGTTGCTGGCAACGTGTCCTCGGGGGAAGACGCTGGAAGACCAAGCGTGGTAATCAGATGGTGGAGACTTTCTGCGTAGTAGTAGACGGCAGCCGACTTCCACAGTTCTGCTCGATCGACCATGCTAACCTGTCTCGCGGTGAGAGCGCATATCGCATTCATGAGCAACGGTGATTCAAGGGCGCGTTTTACGACTGTTCGTTGGAAATGCCGTTCGTCGTCGAAGAGGTCGACCCATTTTCCTACGCCGTTCTGGAACTCTTGGATCAATGTGACCTTATCGCCATCCAGAGAGGGTGGTTCTGCGTGAGATACAGGTGACTGCTTAGAAGACGAGACATGAGGTAGTGAAGTAATCGAATTATTGAACACTTCCCAAGTTGAAGCCGGGTTAGGACGCTCTTCTTCGTCTGCAGTGGCCGCTCCCTGAGCTGAGGAGCACCAATTGGACGGGACAATGAAATCAGATGGTTCACATTCCAGGTCCAGTCTGTGGCACCGACTGCAGCGAGGTTGTTTTTCATCACATTTATGGTGACTGGCTCTGCAGCGGGTACTATCATTGTTCAGGCCTTGTTTGGTCAACAATATACGCGGGTAGGCTTACCATCCTGTCCTCCGCCGCTTCACGCCTTTTGTCCGGGTGGTTTGTTTCATCTCCAATCTGTGCCTGGGCAATTGCATACGGAGTACAATATGGAAGTCATCAACGAGGGCGGGGTACAGAAGGGGTCCACTACGGCGACTCGTGGCGCTTCTGTACAACTTAAAATGTGACATCATTTTCTGCTAGCATTCAGTAGGACTAACACCAGTATAGTATAAGCATGTACAGTCCATTCCACTCTTAGTACACAGTACCAAAAACCTCTAGCATCACAAGATCCTCTGCCGGATAGTAATCAATAATACCGGGAAAAGATCCGACCCATTTAGACTAGATCTTTGCACTGCAACTCCCAGTATTCAGGGTACCGGCCATCCGTCTCCCAATCCACGAAAGTAATCCTGAGCTCGGGAGTTCCAGCATCGCGATAACCAAGTCGTTCAACTATGATATCTCTTGGCTGGAGATCTCCATGGGTGAAAACAGCGCGGTGGCCGTGTAGCGTGCAATTAACCTGCTTTTGCAAGCGTCGGACGTATTGGCCCGATTCTCTCAGATGCACTTTTCTCAACATCTCAGCATTAAATCAATCCTGTGTTGCGAGCGGGCCCGGAATCAATGGATTGTTATCTTCAGTCGCCAGTACACCCCCATAGTAGGGCTGATAGTTCATGGTTCCCAGATGACCCTCCGACGATATCTCCTCGAAGCTCAGTAATGGCACCCCTCATCATCTTATCGATGATGTCCTTTTCAGTGGACGTAAGAGACATTACAGGGTCTGCAAATATTAGCAGGGATATAGCCCATAACTATAAAAGCATGGTTAGCCTCTGCCCCAACAAAGGCTGCGTACACCTTTGGCGCAAGGGCATCAATGTTTTCTGCTAGAAGTTCCATGCTCGCTGCTTCGGAAAGTATGATGTTGGGACCATGTTTGACTACAGAGAATTCCTTTACTCGAACCATTTGGCATACCAGCCGGGTATGCTGAGTTCCTCGGTTGATGCTTCAATCTCGGCGATTGTTGGTAGGTGATCAGACGAGGGACATATGTAACTTGGCATGATGGTTGTTCTTTAGCTGTAAAAAATAGAATGGGTAGGGGAAGTGGTTATGTAGATAAAGAATTCTCCCCTTGACACTATGTTGATTTCTTTTCATTTTGCATGGTTTGTTTTGATTGCTCCTGTATGTTTTGTGGGATCGCTCCGGGGTCCGTGTTTTATTCTTCGAGAAATATCAAGAGTCAGCAGCTTCTTTGGAAAGCAAATCAATACACACAGTTGGTAGCCACTACTTACTGGTAGAGCTGTGCTAAGTGTTGCAAATTATCCTATGTTTCTTGTCATAAATGTTTTAGCTATTTCAAGCACGCCAGGATTATTCTGAATACAGCCCTTCGTTGTGCTTACTTGTATTAGATCTTACTTCACAGATAAATAGTTAATGTAAAACGAGGACCTGTGAATTCCCTCTTCCGGTTAGTTTTACCATTCCTGGTATAGCCTCCCGATATGTCGTACTGTAAACACCGCCCGTCTGGCCTCCCAATATAAAAGAGCTCTCCCTCACTGTTCTGACCTCGTCCCCTCCCAAATCTTTTTCTTTTGCCAAACTCCCTCCCATATTCTGCACTCACCCATATTCCTGCCCATTTGAACTCCGCCACCCCCTTCATTTTTTTTTTTTTTTTTCTTTCGGAAATTGCGGCTGCGCTTTCTCACCTCCACTTCTGACAATACTATTAGATATCTTCTATGTCACGGAGTACGGGCATTCACCAACAACGCAAGATGTTTGTAAACTTTGGCCTGTTTGAATATAGGGCAGGAACCCCCTTCGCACACTAGATAGCGCAGCGCTGGCAGGCCCAGCTTCTTTCTTTCCTTCTCCATGTTAGTATTTCGATAGAAAGTCTACCAATAAATTTATATTGTTCGAGACTGTCACAATAGTTAACTGTTATTGAACGGCAGCTGGAGAGAATGGCAATGGGAGAGGAGTATGATAGTGGGCGGCTAGGAAAAAGCGAGCTTGAGAAAAGCCAATGGCTTAAAGCACATGAGAGGTCAGAAGAATTTGCCTGGTGATTGACTAAGGACTTTATTGCCTTCAGAGAAGGTCGCATATATGATGTATTGTGTAGTCCTAGTATATCTTGCGCCTATTTGCGCTTCAGTTTAATGAGTAGACATACTGTCAGACAAAGAAACCCCAAAAAAGCCACTAGAGTGAAGACGAAGGATGTAATAGGCATCTAAATCGTTCAATGATGTTTTCTTAGAGTGTACCAGCCTCGAGTATAGATTGGGACTCCAAAAAGAGCTCTGGGATTCTTACATGTCAATACTTCCAGGTTCCTTTTGAGTATCCGTTTATTGATAACATAATGCAGCCTTTTTTTTTTTTTTTTTTTTTTTTTTTTTTTTTTTTTTTGCTAATAGATATGAGATTTTATTTACAAGGGCCTGGAAGCATAGAAGTCCAAGGACTGAATGATGAGAATACATGTCTATCTGCTCTCCCGTTATATGAGCATAACAAGGTTGGTTGGCTTAGTTATTTTGACATGGTTACTGATGAGCTGAACGGTGAGACAGAGATTACAAACGCAGATGGAACATCTGCAGCTTATCTGATAACCACATGACAACTGCAAGGCTATTCCGAGTCAAGCTGGATGCGACTTATTCCGGTAGTTATACCTCCTGAGGATCCTGCATCAGTTAATCTATTCATTAGAGGAAGATATATAATGTCAAAAACGTGTACTAGAGTATACTAGAGTGTATTAGAGTGTATTAGGGCTGAAAACATGTGTTATATGCGAATGAACTCAAGAAACAACACGTAATAAGGCGGCCCCAGCTGACGTGAAAACTCGATCTTTCTACATAAAATCTTCCTGATATTATTAGTTCCAAATAAATCCATCGACTTCGGCCTCCCAAAATACCGCAGAACCCGAACATCTCGGGACTCCCAGTCTGGGATCAAATGGCAAAAGTGTGATACTAAGTGCCATCTTTTCTTTTCTTTTCTTTTTTTCTTTCTTTTTTTTTTTTTTTCTTCTTCTGCAATAACAAAGCCATTTTATCAATTCCACCAACAAATAATCAGCAGATAGAGCTGATTGGATGGCCAGTCCAAGAAGCTTTACGATTGACATTGCTAACTATATTAGTCGATGTATCTACGGGCTGACAAAGAAAATAAGGATATCCCTGGTTTTCTGGAGAATACAACGTCAGATGAGGATCTGACATATTCCAGACCATCCATCAGCTTGGCGTTGAGGCTCTAACCCCGCAAGTGCTTCCAGGTTGCACACCATCGGTGACTGATGGAATGGGGCAAGCACTAAAGGTATACGGTCTCTGTGCCGGTGTCCATTGGGTGCTCGTATTCAATTTAGCTGACTCTAGTAGAAGCAGCAAATTATGTGCTCTCGATGGTCTGTCAGCATGATCATTGAGCAAGGGCTTGCGTGGCGGACAGCATGGTGGAAAGATAGTCCAGGTAAAGCGGAAATCAATTCTTTCCATATCAGCTTACGAGCCGGTCCCTCCGGGAATGGCTTTGCTCAGGCAGTTTCTTATATAAAGTGTCAGTTCAGCAGTGTGGAAGGCACTGAGTTCAAAACATTCTCTCGGCCAGTTTCCTTTCCCTTTCTGAACAATGAGTTTATCTCCCCAAACCCCTAAGCCAGAGACTATGCTAACGATGTTTCATGGAGGCTCAGCCTATCCCGATAGGGTTCTTGTTGCCGGTGCTGGCCCAGTCGGTCTGCTCATAGCACTTCGGTTGGGCCAAGCTGGCATCAATGTTGATGTTATCGAGAAAGAGGAGAGCCTCAGTGAGCGTCCGCGCGCCACTGGATACTATGCAGCTGCTTTGTTGGCGTTGGAGAAAGCCCGGGTGCTTGATTCAGTAAAAGATGCAGGCTTTTCCACGCACGGTCTATGTTGGAGAAAGCCCCTTGTCGATGATGGCAGCGGTGGTAAGGCAATGGGGGATCTCATTGCCAAATTGATTTTCCCGGACGCCGATGGCCTTGGAAATGGTGTGATATACCCACAGTCTGAGCTGGGAAAACTGTTATTTAGAGAAGTTGTTGCTACTGGATTCGTGACGTTTCATTTCGGTCGAGAGTTGTGCGGTATTCGGGAGGAGGATGATTCGGTCCTGGCTACTACGCAGACACGGGATGGCAAGGAGTACTTCCGGTGTGCATATCTCGTCGGAGCTGATGGTGCAAAGTCAGCAACGAGACGACTACTCGACATACCGTTCAAAGGATACACCTGGCCAGAACGGATTGTGGCTATCGACGTGCTCATGGAAAACAAAGATGTCGATTCCCACGTTCATACCTCTCTCATCGTCGACCCCATCAACTATGGCGTCGTATCGCCCTTGGTCAAACCTCAGGCGGGAAAGAAAACCATGTATCGATGTTCCATTGCAATTGATCCGTTAGATACCCGGTCCGACGATGAGCTTGCCGCAGAGGCTTCTGTCATGCCTCTACTTGAGAAAACGATTCCTGGACCAAGACCGCTAGATATTGAAGTCAAGAGGATCTCGCCTTTCAAAATGCACCAGCTCTGCGCGTCTACCTTTAGGAGGGGTCGATGTGTGCTTACAGGTGATGCGGCTCATTTGAATAACGTATGCTACAGTCGTCTCATGAATTGTGCTTATCGCTATTGCAGCTGACCTATCATTGTATACAGCCATTCGGTGCTATGGGTTTATGTACTGGCATCATCGATGCAGATGCAGTTTCTGATACCCTAGAGCTGATCATCAAAGACGGTAAACATTTGTCCCTCCTTGACATCTACTCCGACGAGCGACGGAGGGTTTTCCAGACATTTGTCGACCCGGTCAGTGCGCAGAATAAACTGCGCTGTGCAAATGATCCCGATACCGCGACGGAGGACTGGTTCATACGAGCAGTAATGAATTCTTCTGAGGCTGAGATAGCGAGGTTGGGCAGTGCCTTTTTTGATGCGTGGGGTACTGATATGAGAACGCTCGTGGAGTCAAGTTGATTGGTGTGCTGTGTCCAGAGATAAGAATGTTAGGACTTTATAGAGCTACATGAAGAATTCAATATGGTTATGGCGGATTCCTTTCTTTAAAAGACTGCATATGTATCTGTCACTATTATGTATATTGCAACCGGTTCCCCCCAGTCAAAAGGATCGCGATTGAACGAGTGTGTCAATGGTCACCACACCACACCCCCAGACTTCAGCGGCAGATGAAGCATCCGATGCCCTGATGGTGTCGGCTTGGGCAACTGTCCTGCACGAATGTTGATTTGTAAAGACGGATGAAGTAGCTTTGGCTCCGACATCTTCGCATCCCGCTCTTCTCGTATGGCGACATACGCTTCTAAGGCCATGCCGTCCATTAAATGTTTATTGTGTCGTCGGTGCTCCCGCACGTTCATCCAAGGTCTTGGACCCTCGCGTCCCTGTGGTGGGTAGTCGTGACCCGTCCATATCTTCACTTCGTTTGCCAGATTTAGAAGCTTTCTCCCGGACTGAAACATGTCGTGGGCGCTTCCACCGGGAAAGTCGCAGCGCGCGGTTCCAATGTCTGCGTGGAAAGCCGAATCGCCACAGAATACATTTTCTGATCCATACTATTAGTCACTGGAGTCAAGAAGGAAGACAAATGACTAATCACCCACCGCCAATCTTGTAACCCACATGGTCCGGAGTATGGCCCGGGAGATGTAGAACGGACGCGCTCAGCTCGCCGACATTGAATATTTCGTCGTCGTCAAAGTACTTTCCAAAGATGCCCTTGTATTCAGCCTCAGGAACCCCATACCGCTGGCCAAACAAGTTCTGTACCTGCTCGATGCGCTTGCCAATGCCAATAGGCGGCTGGAAACCTTGATCTTGAGCCAGTTTGGCTTGGAGGTATGACGCCGCCGTAATGTGGTCCGCGTGAATATGAGTTTCAAGGATCATAACAATCTTATATCCCTGGTCCTTGACCATCTTGCGGATGAAATCCGCACTCTGAGTACTTATGGTCTGACTGGCCCGGTCATAGTCCAGCACCGGGTCGATAATGACGGCATGCCATGATGCCGGATCGGAAATGATGTATTGCCACGTTGAAGTGTTGTCCTCGAACAGCGCGTGTATTGTCGGCTCACCCGGCTTTGCTGACTCGACTCGGCATCGCTCTTGGTTTGGAAGCTCCTCTGGAATACTCTGGGCTGAGAACGAACGATATGCAAAATGTGGTGGAGTTCGGTGTCCATGGCCGTTTCTATTGGTTGGTGACCTTTGATCATAGTTCTTGTTCTTCCTCCCAATTGGAGCTCGGTCAGAGAACACTCGAATACTCTGTTTATATCGAGCCCCAGGCTGTTGAGATAGAGGAAGAACACATCGCTGAGGATAATGCGATACGGCGGGGATGTAGCTGGTCAAGATGGAATGACGGAGTTTTCTACTCGGTGCGCGGGCAAACATTTTGAGAAGATGCAATCAATGGGAAATCAATTGAAAGAAAAGGAAGATTATGCTGTGTCAGTAGAGTAAATAATTCTTTTACATGACGTGTAATCGGCGATGGGGGTTCTCGTCGGCGACTTGACAGATGAATTTACTTTCCTCGTCCTTGGAAATACTTTTGATGGCTATAGACTCTGGTTGGGCACAGAAATTACCGATAGCTTGTCCTTTTTCTGCTCGACTGGTAGTACTTTTCAGTATTATGCGATGTGATCTCAATGCCTACTTCGGGCCAATAAATGAGCAGCGGTACACTGCATCCCAGCTTTTGTCGACACAAGCACATCAATCAGCACGCTTTTGTTTGTCTAATTTTATTGTTCACTCAACGAAAGCAAGACGCAGTCCCCAAGGCATACACCAGGACCGGTTAGATCCCGACCATTGCCGGGCTGAAACCCGGGGAAGGCAATCTACTCGGAGACTAGGTCGCCGTTTTGAGGTCGGACAGTCCAAGGGGAGATCCGAATAGTCTCAAATTCCCCTGCGAATAATTCGCCCGCTCGCATTCGAGAGACCCACAGGTGATGATATACGGAGCAAAATGTCCGACGGTGACCAACAACGAACGTACCTTCAAGCATACCACGGCTCCATGTCCTCATACTCGTGTCTCCCATTTTAATAGTCAGTCATCAACGGGTTTATCCGAACAATCATGATCTCCCGAATCCGCCATTGGTTTCTTCCCCGGCCCGTCGCCAACAGCGGCTCTCAACTGCGCGACCACCTAGCCAACGAGCGCACATTTTTGTCATGGACGCGCATGGGCCTAGCATTTGCCGCCATGGCACTAGCCCTCGGGCGCCTGGGCATCATCGACCACGTTTTCAACACCGAATGGAAGAAGAACGAGGCGGCAAAATCTAAAGACCGACAGACTACTACCGGCCCCGCCGCCCACGAACCCAGACTCCCCCTGACGGGAGCGAACGATATCCTGGCTGGTAAATTATGCTGGGCCATTAGCGCCTGGTCGTTTGGATATGGCATCTTTCGCTACATTTCTATTCGACAGACGCTGCTTTCGGGACGCTTTGTCCCGGCGATTTGGGGCCCGATCCTGATGACATGCGGCTCGGTTGGGTCTCTGGGGGTTCTGTTACAGTCGGGGACTGGGCGGCCTCTGACAGAGTCGAGTAAGTCGGGATAATTGACTTGTTGACTTTGAAGCGATTATGCCCTGGGGGCTCTTCCTGAGTTGTAAGATTACGAAATTCAATCGCCATCTAGATGGGTTTTAGACATGTTCGGGGAGAAAATAATGTCATGTCTTATGCGTCACTTGAAAAAGTCGCAACATGTTACGGTGGACTGAGGGGAATCTCCTTTTTGAAAATTCAGCGCCTGTATTTATTAGAATGATGTACAAAACCGTTATCGTGTAGAATTATATTGCTAGGACACAACCTCCATCGGCCACCGCATCAACGAAACCAAATGTTCATTTCCAGCCCTCCTAATAAGACCATCAATCACCGCGATCTCTCTCTCAAACGAGTCTTTGAGGTACCATGAATTCTCGTAAAGAGTAAATATCAGATAAAAGTGAGCAAGTATTGCATATGACCCTCCTTCAACCGACCCGATTCCTATCTCCTTATCGACATTGAGGGAAGCAAGAAAAGTGCTTGACAGTAGATCAGGCCAAGAAGTAACAGCTGTATCTTCAAGGTCGGCCTGCACATCTAGATTCACGGGGGTATCCCGCTCACTTGTCGTGAATTCTAGGATGTGTAAGATGCGCATGTACATGTCTTCAAGAATGTCGATGGCGGCTTCTTGGGCGCGGAGGAGTTCGTCATTATCATAGAGATAAATATAAGGGATAGGCGAGCCTTGGGAAGTCGGGGTGGCACTGTTGCTGATCTCGCTTCGTGTCTTGTACGATGGTTTCAATGTGTTAATGAAGTTGCGGAGTGATTCGAGCGTTGTGCTAGCGCCGTAAGCGAACTTTGACAACCGCAATGAGCAAAGCTTTAGACGGGGGAAAGGCGAGGTCATGGTTGAAGGTGGAAAGGCCTTCCAGTCATGATTCGCATGGCGGTAGTATAGTAACGAGCGTAATCTGCCCATCTTCAAAGTAGGCCACTGCTGGCCCAAGATACTAACCAGGCCACGGATTAGATAAAGCCAATCTAGTTGCAGATGTCCATCATTTTCCGATTCGGACGGTCGTCTAAATTCATTTAGTGCTCGGATTCTGAGCGAGGCAAACGCAAACCCAACGAGTAGAGTCGACCCGCAGCATATGACTTCTGCGGTAGCAGGCGATAACGTTGCCAATGCTGCCCTGAGCCCTTGTAGACCTTTTTGATGATGCTCGACAACATTAGAGAGACTGATAGGATTCATCTCCTGTTCTTCAGCCACACTGTCTTCGTTACCTTCCCCCGTGGGTAACCGCTCCAGCAGAAAATGCACACCCGCCAATGCGAGGAGTAAATGCATCAAAAACTCCTCCTTCGCCGCCAAATCCGGAATTATCTGTTGCCAAATCAATGTCCGTCTCCGATTAAAGCTCATCTGGCTACATGTTCGTTTGAGAAAATGCTGCAGGAGTCTTAGATCTTTCATGTTCAGACTTCCAGGTGGCGTCATAGCCGATGAACTGGTCAGTCGGAAGTCTAACGGTTGTAACGATGCACCAAGCGCAGGGCTATCTCTACGTTGGTCACCTGCAGGAGTGGAGCTGGAAGTTTGAAGACAAGCTGCATCGCTGCGATGCGGAATTGCTCTTCTTGGTTCGGCTCTCGCCTCAATATGTCGTGATGGACTCGGATATGAACATCGGTTACCGCGCAAAGAGCAGGCACCGCAGCTTGGGCGTACTTCATCACACTGAGGACGATTAGATCACATGATTCCTGCATCATTCGATACTGCATACCTTCACTCGACGCAATTTACAGGTTTGACAGCCATTGCGAGACTTGGTGTGGCTTGCGCGATGTCTTGCTTTGCCACGTGGTTTTGAGCCAGTCTGTACAAGATTATCCGGAGATTGCGAATCGGACATATCTCGTACTCGCAGATAATCTGAAGATCGTGGTCAATCAGTCATATGTACGGAGTGCGGAGGAAGTCTAGCGATCTCACATCTCATTGGCTCAAACTGCGTTATGTCATACGAGTCATGTGACTGTTATACGAAATTTAGAATTTGTGTGGTTTTGTAGATGTTTTCTTTCGGCCGTTAGGTCAGATATTACCCTGCTATTCACAGTAATGGATGTGTGCTCTCGGTATAGGGGCAAGAATGTGGCCATTTGTTGACTTTCGTGCTCGTATGTTCGCATTCTCGTATTCTCGTTTATTCGTATACTCGTATGCCTGTGTTCTCGTTTTTGGAGATCTCCGATAAGAGAAAAATCATTCTATATATACTCTTGCTAATAATTGCCAGGATGCATTCGGAGCTTAAACTAATATGCTTGGTCTCCGCCCTACATTCAACGCGCTTCCAAAATGCGATTGGAATATCATGTTGCATGGCTCCTGGCCTTCATAGGGTTGGCAGACAGATCCACTTCGGCTTATAGACCAGTGACCTATACGGACTCAACCAGGTCCGATATTGCGGTCAGCGAGGACCATGTGTCCAAACCCAGCTCCGACAGTATACTTTCCTCCGTTATCATTCTGGACCATGGGAAGGATGTGGAAGGACACCCTACCTTCCACGCCACTCGGAGATCCGGAAATAAGTCTGTCTTTGAGATGAGCTAAGTGAAACTCGTGCTATGTTGGATTCTCATACGGTAAGTTTCCATCTATAATTTGATCGGCTCGAACGGTGCGCTAACCAATATAAAGTGATGGGCCCCTCTCGCTAGCAGCTGCCGTGGATACTTACCAGGTTCGCCAGCTCGTCCATCTCTGCGCACGCTGGTTTATCAGAACCTGGGAACCCATCGATTGCATCTGCGTCATTGCCGCCATCTGTCGAGCTCAATAAGTGGTATACGGTTCATAGCGTGGCGAATCCTAGCCATATCTCGGTTCAGATTGCCGGCTTCTTGGTGTCACGCTTCTCACAGACTTCGTCCTTCCTTGGCTCTTTTGGTTTAGGTGCATCTTGGGGTCAGTCGGCCTTATTCACCAACGTCTCCCTTACCTCCTCTGGAAAACAGATGTACTTCTCTTCCTTGACCAACAAACCTGTCCTGCAAGACTTCCTGCTCGGAACCAATCCTCTACCCGTCAGCGTTGACGGCTCCCGAGTCGACCGTACTGTCTACGCAGATCTCGATGTCACTGCCAGCAGCGCCTTCGCAAGTACTGTCGGGCTTCAATACATCAATGGCTCCATTGAGCCCTTGGGACCCTTCCAAATGCCACCTGGATTCTTTGTACCGAATTTCAAAATCCAGCAGGCTCTCCGTACCTTAAGACCGGCTTGATTTGCTATTCTTTTATTCTTGTTAGTGCTATGGCCGCTACTACGAGCAAACGGGAGATACCGGGTTTTTGGACCGTTGGACACCCAGCGTTATCCGGATCTTCAACTGGGCTCATCCGCAGACTCTTTCGAATGGGTTGTTCAACATTTCAAACCCAACTATGGGAGCTGACTGGAACTACTACAATCCTTCACTAAGTGGAGTGGTCCCCAAGATTAACCTCATTTACGCATATTCCTTGAAGCAATGGCTCCCACTCATGGCCGACGCCGGACAGAACACAGCCTTGTATGCACAACGACTACATCATCTCCAAGAAGCAATCAACGCACACCTCTGGAGCAACGACCTGCAAGCATAGTACCTCTCCGATACATACAGAGACTCCAACGCCCTCGCCATCCTAAGCGACACCACAATCGGCAATCACAGCGCGAGCACCATTCTTTCTACCTTAGCACAAGAGCTATATGTACCATCCGGGGCCCTATCTTTCTCTACCGCCAGCACAACACACAGCTGGGCACGCAAAACCAACCTCTTTACTTCTAGCTATCATCTGAAGGCTGCTTTCCACGCCAACGACAGCAACACTGTTTGGTATCTCCTTCATACAGACTGGGGACCTATGAGTGATCCGAAGCACACCAACTATACGGGCTGTATATGGGACACGCTGGATGTTGATGGGGCACCCGGACTTGGTGATTCTACTTCGCTGTGCCATGCTTGGAGTTCCGGGCCTACGGTGGATTTGAGTCAGTATGTTCTTGGTGTTCAGGTGGTGAGCCCTGGCTTCAAAGAATGGAAGATCCAACCTCAGACATTTGGACTTGACTGGGCACAAGGCGAATAGCCTGTTCTGTAGGGGAAAATTAGGGTGAATTGATGGTTTGATCGGAGTGATCTGTTGCACATGGATGTGATTGCTCCAGAAGGGACGAATGAGACTGTCTATATTCCTATTCCGCTGCGAAGGGCGTTGGGAAAGTACAATGCCTCGAGCCACGGCTTAAAGCATGATGATTCTTCTGTTGTGAAGGGTGATCGTTTCACTTTTCAGCAAGTAGAACAGACTTGGTACCGTGGGTATAGAATGCTCTCGTTTTGTTTTTGGTTGTTGACTCTTATTCTCACGCTTTCTTTTTCTCGATTGTGATACTTTTATAATGAATTGGAATGACCGCAATTATAGACGTATAATTCTATTCAAAAAATTTAGTTCTTTTCCTTATATTTATGTCCTACACAGTATTACTTTCTCACTTGATCTATTCAAAATCAAATGCCGGATACTTGTAGACTTATATCCCTTTGTGCTCAAACGGAAAGCCTGCTCTTCTTGCAGCTATACAAAACGTCTTTCTTTATGCATGTCGCCCTCCTATACTCCCACCTATCTTTAGCTTCTGGCATCGTACACTCGTACTGTTGTGCCATGGTTCTTCGGGGTTGCGTTGCTGGAGATCCTGCCTTGTAGCTTAAATCCAAGCCACACACGGCCCAGTAAAGGACAGAAAAACAATTTCTATATTAGTTATTCATGTCGACTCAAGACATATTGATACCAAAAACTTTATTGAATGGTTGGCAAGTATTATTTCTGTACCAAGGGTCCCGACCCGAATTTGGTCCGTAGGGCTTCGTGTTCGTATCTACCGCTCGTATACTCGTATTGTGCCTTAGAATTCGGTCTTCCGTTCTAGATTTTTCAGAAGACAGAAGGAGAAAAGATAAAGTAAGAATAACGACCGAAAAATAGTTAATAAACAATGACCCGTCTGCCACAGGTTTGGTTTAATACTCTCCCCATCGTGGCCATTCATCCAACTCGGACATATTACACATCAGTACTCCTCTACACAACAGAATATGGTTGACTCAAGCAGTGACAGTGTCGTTACTTTCGCGCTTTACAGGTACACGCCTTCAATTCCCGCTGCTGTGGTTATGGCTGTGGCATTCGGGTTCCTTGGAGTTTTCCACGCCTATCGACTCATCCGAGAGAAGACCTACTTCTTTATCCCGTTCATCATCGGCCTTATCTGTAAGTTTTCTCTCTCTCCTTCCTCGAAGACTGCATTTCTAACTTATCAAATATATAGTCGAAGCAGCAGGCTACATCGCACGCATATTCTCACACTTCGACACCCTAGCGCTCGGCCCCTACATCGTCCAAACAATGCTCATCCTAGTCGCGCCTCCGTTATTCGCTGCATCTATCTATATGACTCTGGGACGACTCATCCGGGAGATAGGTGCGGAGACGGCATCGCTTGTTCACATTAAGTGGTTAACTAAGATCTTTGTTGCTGGGGATGTCATCTCGTTTGTGTTGCAGTGTGGTGGTGCGTTTCCCCTCTTTCCCTTATATCAGGACAGTGACTGACATGATACGGAGTACAGGAGGTGGATACATGGCCTCTGGCTCGGCAGAAGCTATGCAAAGCGGCGAGCACATCGTCATCGCCGGTCTCGCCATTCAGCTCCTCTTTTTCGGGTTTTTCATATTCGTTGCATTTATTTTCCACTGGCGAGTAACCAAGCTCGCATCGACATACAAGATATCGAAATCCGTGAGGTCTCAAAGCGGCCGATTCTCCTGGGACTTGCTTATGTGGGCGCTTTATATTGCTTGTGTGTTGATTCTGGTGCGGTCTGTTTTCCGGGTCATCGAGTTTGTTCAAGGGAATGATGGGTTTATTATGAGCCATGAGTTCCTGTTATATATTTTTGATGGAGCGTTGATGGCTCTGATGGGTGCTTTGTTGGGGATTATATTCCCTGGTTCTTTTTTGTCAGGTCGAGGAGGGAATCAGTGCGAGCGAGCTGTGTCTGAGTCTGCTGCGTCGGATACGTTGCCGTTGGAGGAGGGTCGGTATTCGTGGAAATAGTCTTTTCACTTCGTGCTATGTCTTTGTCGGGTTCTCTTCTTCTCTTCAGCTGTTCTTAGCCATTTTATGGGGCATTCGAAATAACCCCAGTTATCATTAGAGATATTAGCACTTTCTCATAACCATAGCAGATGACAAAGGATATCAGAAGACATCTAAAAAGAGGAAATGGTCACATCGAAACCCAGCATTCATCATCGTTGTCGACCATCAACAACTGACCCCCCCTCAAGTTCATACACAGCCTGCCCATGCCCATCCAACTCCCTCCTCTCATTCCCATCCAGCTCCGCCACCTCCCTAGCCTCAACCTCATTCACAAATCTCCCACGGCCGTTCTCGTTCTCTTTCCTGTCCCCATCTACTGTTTCAACAATATCCGCATTCTGGCGATTTCGTTGCCGTTTCCGCCAATATCCAAAGAGGAATATCAGGAATAGCGCAGCAAGGACGATAACACCGCCTACCACACCTCCGACTATGCCGCCGATTTGGGAGCCTGTTAGGCCGTTTGAGGAGTTGTTCGAATCTGAAGAATCGTCTGTGTCGGTGCCGTTATTCAAATTCGCAAACGCAATGCAGCAGCGGATGCTAGAATCGCCGGGACAGGGGGGGTCGAACTATATTCCAATAAAGATATTAGCGCATCTCGACTTTCGGCTTTGAATAAGAGATAAGAGACGAAGGGAAGGGAGGGAGCGCACTGGGTCCCCCGTGTACCACAACCCATCGCACGCATCGCGTGTATCGTTCTTGCATAACCCGTTTCCTTGGGAGATGTTGCATGAGCGGATGAAGCAGCACTGTATTATACTATAAGTCTTCTCGCCAATTCCAACTTAAACTGTGTAGTGTGAATACTACCTCTGAGCCTGTGCCACATTGGTTCGGGAAGAAAGCACCGTTGCCTATGAAACACGTTAGCCCACCCGCGAACTGGAAATAGTAAGGTAGTATAAAAAATAGGCTAACACGTCGACTCTTGTACACACGTTGCCTCCTCAGCTAATGACCCTGCTGAGCAGGTCCCAGAGGATTGTCGGGAGAAGAGAAGCCCTAAGTTCACGTCTTCCATAGCGGAAAAAGGACTACATTGGCTTCGCAGGGAAAGAAGAACAGCGAGAAAGGTCACAGAACGGAAGGGGAGAAAATAGAGCAAAGGTAAAAAAGAACAAGACACAGCATTGGGATCGCCCGGTATACGTTGGCGACACCCACCTGTCACAGTTACCTCTGCCTCTTGACTCAACCATAAAAACCCAAAGTGACTGTCCTGAAAACCTTCAAGCATCATTGGACCGCGCTACATGCCATATTCCGTGCATTTCCCCATACAGCAAAAGAGCGACGTTGGCGGTGCTAAATGCCGTGCCGCCAAGGCCCTAGAAACAGGAGAAATACGAGCATGGAGGGTTGCAGGCCATGAAGAGCGGGTGTTGAGACCCTGGGGCTCAGGGTTCGGACCTTTTGTAGAGGGGGTTGTGAGGGTCTGCTGATTAGTGATTCACACAGCCAGCCACATCGACATCGACATCAGCATCATGAGTACTGGATCACCACGGCCAGGTCAATTATGTCCAGAAGAACATTAATATGTATGATCCATGACGCGAGAAAGCGAAAATAAATACAAATTGCCGACACATGCTAATACAACACATAGAAAAGAAAAAAAACCATCCTTGACGTTTGCCCAGATAGCCCACACAAATGCTTGCTTAAAGAAAAAATATTTAGAAGATTAGACGAAATATGAGACGAAACAAATCAAGCATACACACAACACTTTTTCCTCACCCAGTCCTAGGAATTAACCGAGCAAATCATCCAACCCCGAGCTATCAGTCTTTGAACTCCCCTGCTGAGTCTGCTGCTGAGGCTGTCCCAGAGAAGGCGAAGGCGATGCAGCAGGCGCGCCCCAGATACCAGCACTAGCCTTCTCCTTGGCCATACTCGCCAGATTCGGTCCCTTGCTCGCCGTCGAGTTGGACTTTTGGACTCCCGCCTTGGCACTAGCACTCGACCACAACGAACCGAAGGCGTCACCGCCCGAAGACTTAGGCGTAGCAGCGGCGGGCTTGGGACCGGCGGCGGAGGATGAAGTGGCGGATGTGAGAGAGGAAACGGAGGACATTCCTGGTCGGTGGCCCATGCCGCCGGAGGGGGGCTGGTTCGTGTTCATGGACACGGAGGTGAAGTAGTTCGGGGTGGCAGCTTGGTAGCCCGTGGGCTTGGGCTGGAGGGGCTTCTGTTGTTGTTGCAGGGGTTGCATTGCTGCGCCACCGCCGGGGGATGTTGGGGATGCGATGCTTGAGGCGGGGGTGGGTGTCATCGATGTGAATCCGACGATACCGTTCAGGTTTACGCCCTGGGATCCGGACACCGGCTTAGGGGCGGCGAACTGCGTGTTCGACGTTGTGCTGACAGTAGACGATGGAGGAGGAATGCCGAACTGGCCGAACTGGTTCGACGATGCCGATGCTGCAGGTGCAGGCGCGGGAGTAGCAGACTGGAAGTCATCAAAGTCGTCATCGTCCGCTCCCATTGGTTGAGAATCGAGGATATCAAGTCCGCCGCTGGTGGCAGGCTGCTTGCCAGCTGCAGTAGACGTCGTGGCAGGAGTATCATCGTCGCCAAGTAGATCCGGCTCGGGCTCTTTCGGTTTCGGAGGTTCGGCCTGTTTTGCTTTGGCACGCGGAGGACTCGCCGCACGTCGCGTCGCCGGAGCCGCATCTGCCTCGTCATACTCATCATACTCGTCGAACTGGTTACCTCCCCGACGTCCAGAGTCCTGGAAGTCACTCTCTCCACCACCAAATCCACCCCCATCACCATATACACCCCCGCTGTATCCACCAAATGACATACTGTCACTGCCAAAGCCTCCGTATCTGCTGTTGCGGGTACTCGACATGCCACCCCCAACACCCATACCACCCTCGAAACCGCTGAACTTATTCCGATTGGCGCGGGCCTTCTTGCGCTCTGAACGGATCAGTTCGACATCGCCAAGAAGCTTCACCAACTCCGACGCGCGGTTGCGCACGTTGATACCCTGGTCCTTCCCGTTCTGATCGATAAAGTGGAACTGGCGGAGCATGCGGAGGAGGGACATGTGCGAGCGGGCATCATCGACGACTCGTTCCGATCCGTTCTTGACGAGGAATTCTAGGAGTTGCAAGCCCTGTCGGTTACACACATTTCGTAAGTAAATGTCCGACCAAAACGTCCCCCGACCTTCCATAACGCACCTTGTAAATCTGCCGCCACTCCTCCGCGGTCTTGTCTGTGAATCGCTTGTAAATCATCGGCATAATCTCGTTGAGCAATTGACTGCAAATACCTGTCAGCATCATTCCCCAGCAGTATCTCACAGCACAGAAGGCCACTGACTAGCTATGAGTCCCACTAGCAATCTCCTGCATCAATGTCGTAGAGGCACCCCAAGGCTCATTATTCGTCGCTTCTCGGACCTAACCAGAGTACATGTAAGCCACACTTCAACCAACATACCTCGTATTCTCTTCCATCGGACAAATAGACGGGGGTAGGACTCCGGAATCGGCGGGGAGACGGAGAACTAGGAACAGCGACGACGACATACCTTCGACTCCATTTCGGTGTAGTTCATGACAGCTATAGACAGGAATCGGTTAGCTACCAATTACAAAAGGAAAAGAAAAAAAACACTAGCAAAATATGCTACTCAGGAGGGCTTACCATTCTGTACTTTGCGGACTCCCGCCTTGAGATCATACAAGGTCAGGTTGCTGACCTGCTCCTTAAGGCTGTCCATGGCGCAGATAAACGGGAAGTCCTGTGCGCTATCGGTCGTTAATCTGTCGAAGAAAAGATAAAATTTGAGAGAAAATGAAATATCCTTGAAGTCGTGAGGGGTGAGAGGGACGAGAGATGTTGTTTGTATTGATTGTCAGTCCAGCGAGACACATGGCATCGGCCCAACCCGGACAGCGCGGTCACGTGGGTTTTGCCCCTGAGCCGTCACCATGAATACAAAATCACTTTTCTACACTCTAGGGACTGGGTTGTTTATATCAGTTTGTGCCAAATGTAAGGATAGCATAGTAGACACTACTTGGGTAAATACATACATAGAAGACTCGTCGAAATCATACACACAATCGTCACGGGAAATCGCATAAACATGTAAATAACATGACACAGGGCAAACACAATAGGGAACCTCCCGTTGGAATAACATGACAACGAGAACACAAATAGGGGTACTTGAACAAAACGTCTCATAACGCCGGAGCAAAAAGGCGACACCGCGCATCACCCACATACCCGGATAGTTGAAACAAGAACAAGAAACAAGACACAAAGAAGTGAGATGAACGGGGATATCTTGAAGAACTGAAGAAAGAAAGAAGCAAGACAACAAGGGAAAAACAAAGCAAGCGGCCGAAAACTACCCGCTTATTCATTGTAGAACTTTCTCATGATCAAATGCAAGAAGAGGTTGACGTTGACTCGTAGGTGCCCATCGAAGAAGTCCAGGAACTGCAGGTTGTTGAACTGTGCCTGCAGCAAGTCGTCCAATGGCACCTGCGCATTTGCTCCGGGCACCATCATGGGTCCGCTGCTACCGTCAATAGTGAAGACACCAACCTCGTTGCTCGAAATGGTGAGATCAACGCGATCCCACTGTCGCTCGGAGTAACCTTTCCAGTGTACCAGCACACCCCTGTCTGCCAGGTTACGGGCGGAGTACTTGTACGATCCGAACTTGAACACCTTTCCGGATTTTTGAAGCTCACGCTGGTGATCCCATTGCTTGGTAAATGGCATTAAGAAACGCTTCTTGCCCTTCTTGTTCTGTAATGTAATCATCGCCTGCTCAATGTAGTCATTGTATGTCTTGAGCTGCTGGTCAAGCCAAAGGGCTTGGTCGTTAAGACGGGCCGTCGTGAGGCGAGCGCTCTCGATTTCACGCTCTCTTTGGATTCTCCGACGATGCTTCGTTCGGATATCGATGGCGATCGCGTTGAGGAGATCCTGGTAGTGGTTGTCACGTCGGATCTTGCCAGTTCGTTCCAGTCGGAGGATGTTCTCCAGGGCGGTGCCCTTGAGCTCCGTGTAACTCATTGATCCGATATCAACCAAAGAGTTGGCCTCGGCATATGGGCTTCGTGGGGTGTTATGCGTGCTCAGTTCGTCGCGGACCAACGCCATCCATCGTTCCTCGTCTTCCACAGTGGGCTGCTTGACCATAATTTCCATCAAATTGGCACCTGTCTGGACACGAATAATGTAGAGGATGCATCGCTTTGTTTCCATATACAGAGCCTTGATATCCCCTTCGGGGTCTGTAGAGCAAATTAGCTTTGAAGTCATGTGCGTATACGGGATAAATGCTTACCTTCGATCTGCGCGAGTTTTGGCACCAAGGTCAGGTTAATTTCAGACGAGTTGACGCTCATCAACTCGTTCTCATTGGTCTTGACGTTTCCGAGCTCACGGACGACTTCCTTTATAATATCATCAGGGTTCGTGCAGATGTGGTTAACTTCCGAAGCGACAAGCTGATGGATCGAGAAAATGTCGGACATCTTGATGTACAATGTAGGCTTCGTCTTGGCGTAAAGGTCGTTGAATTCATCAATGTCAAAGTAGGACTCTGCATCTTGCACGGATATCACTAGGCGGGGTTAGCAAACGGTAAAGACAAGGGAAGATAGAAAGAAACTCACAATCACCCCAAATGAGGCCTAGACGTTGAATCGAATCTCCAATATAGCTATTCAAAGGCTGGAGATAAACGTTCTCTGCTCCGAAAAGCCTTCCAGAGGCCACCTGCGCAACAACCTTTGCGATCTCGGACAAATTTCGCTTCTGCTCCTGGGTCATTCCCCGGTCAATCACCCCATATCGTTCCGGCTCAAGGACAGCAGGCTGGAAATAGTTCTTCCACACCCAGAACCCAACCGTCTGGAGGATGAATCCGGGGTCCTCGCTAGAGAACCGGGACAGGAGAGTTTCGTACATCTCCTTCGCGACATAGCGGACACCAAATGGCATACGGTACAGCACCTCCTCTAAGTGGGCAAAGAA